GCTCTTATCCAGAGCGATTTACAGTTAGTGAGTGCATACATTTTTCATACTGGGTGGTCATATGGAAATATTCGATGTTATGTTTTTATATGGATTTGATATGTGATCTTTAAAATACAGATTTTCCATCATATGGAAATATTCGATGTTATGTTTTTATATGGATTTGATATGTGATCTTTAAAATACAGATTTTCCATCAGGGTCAATAAAGTTGATCTGAGCTTATCTCTCAATCATATCTTGGCTGTGTACGTCCAATGATCCACTGTATATGATTGGAATATAAAATAAGTTCTATAAACGTACTTGGGAGGTCTGGAAAACAATGCACGCATGGGAGCATACTTTTTCGTTCCCTTCGCTGGTGAGGCTATCCCATAACTCCTTGCGATGCAGCGAAAATTCCTAAAGCTAATGGCGGACTTTATTCCAGAGGAATAACTTTGTAAAATGTAAGTATAACGTTTCTTTATTCACCAAATTATGTAAAAATGTTCAACAAATTACTTTTTATTCAAATGTTGAGTCACTGCAGTTTATCAGCCCGCTAGCCAAGATATGTTAGCTCGTCGGACGCGATGGCTAGCTAGCAGGCAATCTCGTCCTGGTTTTCAGCTGTTCAGGGATGAACAACTAAACAAACTAATCGTAAAATCAGCAGTGTCAGTTGTGAATACCCAGACAGTTTTTTAATCCTGAATTGGTGAACTTGCTAGCCAGCTAATGACAAATGTAGCAAATCTTTTTTTTCTTCTTCAATTTGTTTTCAGGGACAGATGGCAACTGATGTGTTAATTTCACTCCATGGCATTGGCTTGGCAGGACAAAACAGTCGTGCCCGACTTGTTTGGAGGTAAGACATCTTAACAACTTCTGATAAAAAATGTAGGAAATGCAGCTAGCTGTGTTCTGTTCAATTTAGGCTTGCTAGCCAGCCAAGTTATTTGTGCGTTTTTACATGCATGCATTATCTGTTTACCTAACTTTCTTGTCACTTTCCATTTCCCTCTTGTTTCACCATTGCATATAAAGAAAATGTTTTGAATAATGAAATTATCAATTAAAAATGAATTAGTGACAACTTTATCAAACCTATGAATATGAAAGCGTTTACAAAACCATTGCACATTAACAAAGGTAGTTGTGGTTCTCAGCAACTTGAACCAGCACTGAAATTTGAGCAGTGAGGTTAATTTCTCCCCCCTTGGCTTTATGTTTCTGCTCTGTTCTCCTCAGGTGGAAGCACATCCCACCCCATCACCAAAAACATGGGAACCTCCTGTCCACTAGGAAAATCACCCTATCCCAGGAGTTTAGTCAGTTTATTCAGCAGTGTGCAACATCACTATGTTAGAAGTAGATCCACATATGTTATTCTCTATAATGCCGAATTGACAGCTCATTGTAACATATGAAACTCATTCTAAAATAAATATATTTTGGACTACCAAGAAAGGTATTGGTGAATTATATTAATCATGCAAAGAACTGCATCCATCTATTCTGCCAACAATGCATTAGTGTACGTCATGGAATGTTGAGTCAAATATAACCTATTTTTAAAACCTCTCATAAAGTTGGTTTTGTAGCATAAACTGGGAATTTGATATTTTTGTTTGTTTCATATCTGCAAAGTAGTTAAAACGCTGTCAGTTCCACTTTAAGCACTCCTTGTTCTCCCATTCTAGACAATATGCTCTCTCAGGTGCTCTTGAAGTGCGTCCTTGAAAGAACGGGAGAACGCAGAATGATTACGCATTTTGGAACACACACAAGGTCTCCACCCAATGGCTTTCACCAATCCAAACCTGGTCAGATCAGTGATTACCGCAAGGAACGAAGGAAGGAGTGAACAAATCATTTGTACAGTACAGTATGTGAACAGACGCTGTGTGTCCTTCAGGCTGTGTCTAGTTGAAAGGAAGGAATCATGTCTACAGTATGGGAACAGGCCCTGTGTCCTTCAGGCTGTCTAGTTGGAAGGATGAAAGGAAGGAAGGAATAATGTTTACAGTATGGGAACAGGCCCTGTGTCCTTCAGGCTGTCTAGTTGGAAGGATGAAAGGAAGGAAGGAATAATGTTTACAGAATGTAAACAGGCCCTGTGTGTCCTCCAGGCTGCGTCTAGAAGCTGTTGCTTCTGTTCTCTGGTTTGTTTACCCCTCCTGGTGGCCACACACTGTATCACAACAACCGCAGCTGACACGCTCACTCCAGGTCGAACTCACCCATAGGCACAGATCTAGGATCAGCTTTCCCTCCCCAAACCCTAACCTTGAACATCAGGGGTGAAACACAGAACTGGGTAAGGGCAGAGAGAAGGCTCAGGACTTACTCACTGTTATCAATGTGATGTTAGACAAAACATTAATTAATGAGCACTACAACTGAGGAAAAAACTGGGTGAGCACTAGGTCATGCAGTCTAAGTGGTGAGGATGATTTGACAAATGTCATCAGCTAAATGAGATGGTGAGACTGGTAGAGGATCGAATGTCTCTCACCAGACATACTCCATACATCTACTAGTCCAGATGTTTCCCTTGACACACACACACCACACACACTGGGACCCTGCTCTCACACTCTCTCCCTTTCCTCAATCAGGCTGGGGTGATGAGTGAGTCCACCTACAGTATGTGCTGTGTGAGTGTGTATTGTGTGTGTGTTCTCCTTGCCAGGAGACTGTGTTTGTTCTGAGGCCTCGCCCTGCCAGCCGCTCTTATTCAAAGCACATTTCCCTCCTCCTCTCTCTCTCACTCTCCTACACACACAATGGAGCTCTTTCTAAAACTCAGGAGGAAGATGTGAAACGTTGAGGAAGGGGGAGAGTAGGGCCAAGTGAATAGTGGATACAGCTATGGTGTCAGGCAGGTGTATGAAGCACTTGCTTGCACTACGGAACCATCCCTTTACCTCTAGGAATAGTGTGTGTGTGCGTAAAACCCGGCACACTGGTCTCCTGCCATCTGGACAGATAAAGAACATCACGCTGACACAGTCAGACAGTGTAATAAGTATTTTATTGCATTTTATAATGCCATTGTCAATAATTAGTACAGATTACATGCAACTAGACCTACTGTACAGTTGTTTTTATTGTCTGCATGGACAGACACAAGAAGATTCAGGTTACAAATACACAGATATATGTGTGTGTGTTTTATACAGCATGAGGAAAAGGGCAGTGACTGGCATTACATGGCCACCCAGGGAAGGGGGAAAGGGCAAAGGTCTCGGTGGCAAAGTCACCTTTTTTTAAACCTCTTTTAGACCATCTTAACACCGCCTACTCCTACTGAACCCCTTCCCCTGGGTCACACTTTCAAAAAATAAACAAAATGAACAAAATAAAAAGATAAAAGAGAGGTAAACTGAAACTAAGTAACGTTACAGAAAGTCACTGCTGAAAATGTACACAGATTCATAAGATACAACCAGAGGACAGCTGAAGTGGTAGTTCCATTTTTTAGGGCGGCTGTGAAGTTCATAATAACAGGGGCAACTCTCCTTTAAGTTCCCTTTTCCTCAACATGACATCTAAGAGCTGTCCAATCATAGAGCAGGGGCGGGGCCAATTAGGTCCCTGGAGTCACTTATGATCTAATAGGAAGAGTGCTCATCCAAGAGATGATGGCGATGGTGATAGCGAAGAATGGTTTGAGGTATGGGAAGTAGCTTGCGGAAGATTAGTGCCTAGGGTTGGTTTGGTTACGGTTGTGGTGGTCTGTTAACTGATAAGACATGGCCACTCACAACACCTTTGGTGCATGATTGAAGATGAACTGCATCTCTGAAAGCCTTTAGAGATTGTGGGGGTGGGGGGGGGTGCTACAGGAAATTAGGATTCTAATTGGACAAATGCCATCAGGTGTGTGATTGAGGGCCACGCCCAGTTGCCCTATGGAGTGATTGACCGCTGTGAGGGTTAAAGGTCATCAGAGGAATGACTGTGGTCAGGGTTCAGAGGACACATATTGGCACATAAAGGACCAACAACATCGCCTTTACATCGCTCCATCTTTAAAAGCAAGAGAGGGGCTACATATTTTCTTCAATTATTTTCCTCTTTCTCTCATTTTTCTGAGGTTTTGGTCCTGTCTTAGAGAAAAGTCCTTCTGAGGTATCATCAATACATAATGAAGTAAACTTTTTGTTTTACTGTTGTTTTTCTTTTTCTTTCCTTAAAAATGCAGTACAGAGACAAAAGGTATCAAAATAGACCTAGCTAAGATAAATATACAAACAGGTGTTACCTAAACCACTTATCTAACTTTAATTATTTTATTTTTTAGAGATAATACACTTAAAAAATGATCGTCCCAGACGTTTTATGAAGAAAACGACAAAAAAGGAAAAAACAAAAACTATTCAACCAAGATACTTGCAGCACTTAATATGATAAATACATACACTTCAGCATTAGCAATACAGTATAAGAATCCAAGCTGGAAGCTTTACAATAGCTAAATTAACAAAAGAGAAAATCAAAAAGACATAATGGAAAAGAATGCCCTCGAGAGCTAAGCCAAGCGTTAATATACAATAATACATCATAACAGCAAAACCGGAGAAGGAACAGAAGTGTCTGTGGCAATCTGTTAACATCATTGACAAATGTCAATCTACATCTTCATAAAACAGCTTGGCTTACAGGTGTACCTTAAAGCATGAGAATTCAAAGATCATTTATTTACTGAATGCAGCTGTTCATCTTTCGTGAGAGTTTGGATCATAACAATATTAATAATAGTAATCATAAATTCCTTTGTAAGCGTGTTATTATTGTCCGTCTCCCAGCAAGTGAGGGTGTACAGTAAGCTCTGTGTTTGTCTTTGGATAGTATCTTTAGTTACTCAGAGCCTCTCTTCAGCTGTCTGAACCAAGGGGCCATCAGGGGCCCGGCTCCTAGTGACAGGGGCCACTATTCACTGTGAAGGGCCAGCTCCATGTCACAGGGCTTTTATTCCCAGCTATGAGGCTTTCTGACTGATACTAAGGGCCCTTTGGACTGAACACTGACTACAGCGGACTACGGACTGAACACTGACTACAGCCTGTAGAGTGTTAGACTGTTCAGAGTGTGTGTTTCCTTTATCGCTGCCATCTTAAAGCTGTTCTCTGCATTCATGTGAAGTGCGGGCCGCTGGCGTGTGGCGGGCACTAGTGTGTGTGTGTGGCCCAATGGCGGGTGCAGGGCACTCATATATTCTGCCCATCATCACTCCTGACAACCAGCTTCATGCCCCATTGAGTCGCCGCTAACTACCGGACTATCATTGGCTGCCGGCAAAGCCTGCTCATCAATATACGTGCATACAATTAGAGCACCCAGTTAAGAGGCTGTTCACGGAGCTATATGCTAATGGTCAGCACAGAGAGAGCCAATAATACACAGCTGAGAGTACACCTTTTTAAACATGGTGACCACTTCACTCTTCACTCTTAGGAGAACGCTCCAGTTATCTGTGGTTTTAGGAGAGGTAGTCATCTTTAACGGGATGTAATGTTATTGTAAAGTCTCTTTGTTTTTGCGCTCAAGCTCGTGAATTTGGAGTCCAGATAGCCAGACAAGTTTTTTCAGCCCCACTAAATGTGTAGTAACAATAAGCTGTGTTTTGGTATATTTCACTATTATTATTGAGGAAGAATGAAAAAAAAAAGAAGAAATATTTCGGGTCTCCAGTCTCCCATTGGCTTTTATTGTGAACCATTTTGAAAAGGAGGTAGTGTTATTTTTGGTTTTTACTCTTGTTTCAAGGAGTCCCTCTCCCGCTTTGTTTTTTATAAATCAGTCGGATGACATGAAGCATCATTACCCTATTTAGACAGGAAACAGTGCTGTTTTACACAGGAAGTCAAGACAAAGACTCCTCTATTAAAAAAGAAAGAAAATGGTGCAAGAGTTGATTTGACAAAACTGTTCCCGAACTTTGTTTTAGAAAAAAAGACATAAGTTGGCATGTCCCTTGGTGTGTTCCTTTTACATTGGTATGATTTTGTCATTTGTCAGTTGTTCCCTCTTTGCTGTAAATATCACAAGTGGTCATAATGGTATGTCTGTTCTGAAAACCCCTCCCTGTATGTCTACTGATGTGAATGATGTTTGGGATGACAGCCAGCTTCAAACAGTCTTTATCACAACTACTCACAGCACATCTGAGACTTGGGGATATGAATGTGTTTCTATGGCAATGTGAGAGCATGAAGACATTCTAAAAGTGAAGTATTATAATTTTGTTCCTATTTATTATAACACCTGTACTTTTTGGTATTAGTTAACCTGTTGTGTTTGCTAGAGTATCCTGTAGGTGAGGAGTAAAGAAAGTACAGTAAGTAAACCGTTCACTGCTCGACAATGGGACTTTGGGTCCTATTCAATCAAACCGGTACCCGGGTCAAAAAAATTACATTCACCTGCATAGCACAAAGGGATGTTTGAATTTATAGAGTTTCACAATGAAAATATTGTTTTGGTTGAGGAAATTAATCAAAACATTCATTATTACAGTGCAATAAAAATGTATTTATTTGACCCGGTATCCCAGTTAATGGACAACTGAAACTGACAACAGCCCACTTATTTTTTTTTGCTGGCTTCTAGTGTCACATAAAGGTATATAAATGTTGTGTTCAAGTGCCTAATGAGGGTAAGATAATTATTTGTCATCTTTAACCCTGAATCCCATCTTAGGCTTGCCTACAGCGGAGCCTGTCTTAGGGTTGTGTTTGAAACACAGGTAGCCTGAGCATGGAGAGATAGAGCTTTAAATCCTAAGTGCTTTCTTTCTTTATCTAAGGAACTGCAAAAGGGTTGTTTGTTAATACTGTTTTTGGCCTTCAACCATAGCATGCCTAATGTGAGTCGTCATTTGCACCAGTTAAACACATGTAAAAAGCTTTTAACATCACCAAATTCTATTTAGCATTTTATACTTTGGTTTTTGGAATGGTCAGTACTGTCATGAACAAATTCAACGTAAGAGTTACGATAATACAATAATAATTTAAATTTCAGATGTTTATTGTCTTTTGGCCAGTTCTTTAGAGGAAAAACTCAAAAGGGGAAAAATAAACTACAGGGTTTTTGGTTTTCTACACATTTCTTTGGTTACCTGTAACAAAAATAAAATGGGAGAAAAAGCAGAAAATACATAAAAATTATGTGTTTAAATTTGGTATGGCACTGCAGAGAAGGTAATGCTTTTACGCTCACTGAAAACAAAATATTTTAAATCTCACATGCTATTCCTTTGAGTCCAACTCACACAGTGAATTGCAGACAGCTTCTATACAGTAACTATAGTAACAATATAACTTTGAAATGAAACTGAGCAGAGTTGCCACGTTTTGGTGTACCACACAAAGAATTCCTCCTTATTTCTTAAACATTTTGGACACAGTTCCGGGCGGACACTTTGTGGGATGAGGTATTCTCTGACCACCATAATATATTTTTTAAAGCATTGCTTTGTATCACAGCTGATGTTTCTCAACTAACTATGAGAAGATAAAATAAAAAGGAATGAAAGTTAGTTAAAAAGGAATAATACAAATGGATGATAATGTCGGGATAATTGGTGAGTGTTCTCAGGAGCTGAGGCCCTCGATCCTAAGTGCTATTCTCAATCTCCTGCCATCTAAACTGGCAAACCCAGACAGAAAGGGATTCAGGGTGGTATGGGTAATTTTGGGACAATGCTGTGCTTTCTTTGCCACCAATACTAGTTTGGAATGGTGTGAACAAGCAGAGTTAAAAACTAAAGAAACAAAGCATTTTTACAAAATACACTTTGAAACAGAATTATATCACCATGGAAATTTGAATCCTAAAAAATAAACAAAGATAACATCAAAGAAAAAAGGAAGTGAAAAAGCTACCACTTTTTGGATATAAAATGTTTTGTATTCTATAATCAAACTATTTTAGTCAGATATCTCTGTGTGGATGATCCCTCCTTCCTCCCTCTTTTTCTCTCTCTCTCAGGTTGGCCTGTGCCCATCACTCTATCACACATGAAGGAGGAGTAAAGCACCAAAGGGTCCTTTTTTGGGGGGGAAAACAATATATTCTTTTTTTGTTTGGCATTAGGAGTAAAGAGAGTCTTGTCTGGCTTGGGCAGAGAATGGGTAGAGAGTGGGCATAGGGCAGAATCCTGCCATCCAGTCTCAGTTTCACCTATGGATCACTGACTGGTTTGTATGCTTGGTTTCTGATGTGTGAGCAGGTGGGGTAATCTTTGAGAAAACCACTGTCCTTCCTTCCATCTCAAAGCCCAGCAGTTCTTTCAGGCAAAATAAGAAAAGAAAAAGCAACTAATATGATCGAAGAGGAGAAGGTATACACCTCCTGGTGACTGTTCCAAAAAATATATACACATGATCTGGTGTGTGTGTGTATCTCCACACTCTCTCTCTCTCACACCTGTATGTATATTGAAGTGGTGTGAAAATCAAACTGCCAGCACTAAAGGACTGGGTAAACCATCTGTCGCAATCAGCAGGGAGAGGAGGAGAGAGGAGAAGAGAAGAGGGGACCCTGCCTCCATATCACCACTGAGAGCTGGCTCTCTGACAATACACTGCTCATAGGGTGAGGGAGGAAGGAGTGAGGAAGGGGTGAGGTGGGTGAAAATGTGTGGGGATAAAGCAATGCTCCAGAGGGTTATTTTTGCGTCGGTATGTAACGGAGGTCTAACCCTGTTTGTCAATGTTGTTGTTGGTTACTTGCTTTAAAAAAATCATTATCTTTCTCTTTTTTATCTCTATCTTCTTTTTTATGTGGTCATCATTTCGCTTCACTCCAATGGAGTGGGCGGGATTAAACCTCTAAGTCCCGTCCACTGGTTCAGCTCTTCCAATCCTACTCCAGCTCCTCGGTGGGAAGCTCATCCTCCAAATCGCGGTCATCGCGATCGCTAGGCAATGCCATGTTCTGAGTGACAGTTGCCATGAGCGACATGGAGCGGCTGTCCTCCTCGACCTCAGTGGGCTCCTCCTTCACATGGACCTGGTGTCTGAAAGACAGAGGGACACGTTAGAGAGAGAGACAGAGAAAGAGACAGGGAGTGTGTTTGTAAGAGAGTTTGTGTGTGTGTGTCTTACCCATACTGCTGTGGGCTGAGTGTAGGGCTGCAGCTGCCATTGCTGTTGACCTGTTCCACAGTGGAGCTGACGTCATCGTGACCCATCCCATGCAGCATGTTGAGGCTGGCGGCAGATGAGGGGTTAACCAGGCCCTGGCTGTTCAGTAGAGTCAAACTGCTCTCCGCAAGGGCCGCCTAATACACACACACACACAGGAACACACAGATTTACATGAAAATATACTCACACACATCACAATTGACTTCAAGTACTTATGGATCCACAAATACACTTTGTGAGTAAGAAGAACCCATGTATTTATGCGGTAACAGACTGACTGGTGAGTCCTGTTGAGTACTTGCTAAGCATTTCGCTGCACCGTTTATACCTGCTGTAAACTGTGTACGTGACGAATAAACCTTGATTTGATAGTCAGTAACGCTGAAGTCTAAAGCAGTGTTGCCTGGATGACTAACACTGCAGGATAACCACATACAACCACTAGGGGGCTCCTGCACACTACACTTCACTGCTCTAGGGTTTAGTGGTGTGTGCGTGCTTGTGTGTGTGTGCAGGCATGCGTGTGGTGGGGGGCTGGTGGGTTAGAGGTTAGAGAGAGAGAAAGAGAGTGAAAGTGAGAGAGCGTTCATTGTTGGTTGGTTTGCCCAGAAAGTGTGTTTGTGTGATAGGAGTGACTCTATGCCATTGAAATTGATTTTATAGGACAGGCACAAATTTCATGCAGTGACCTTAATTGACAAATACTTGATGCTATCATCTGAGTCGAAGTCGGATGGAGTAAGGTGTATGTGTGAGTGTGTTTTGGGAGGTGTGTGTGTGTGTGTTTTGGGAGGTGTGTGTGTGAGTGTGTTTTGGGAGGTGTGAGTGTGTTTTGGGAGGTGTGTGTGTGAGTGTGTATGTGGTGGAGTGTTTCTGTATGTGTGAGAGTAAATTGATATTAGTGCCCTTGATCGTGACTGGCTTCCGCACACGTGTCACTGTGACAAGCCTAACTTGCTAACTAGTGTGTGTGTAAGCGTGTGTGTGTATATGTGTGTACACTAACCTGGTAGCTGGCATTTAGGGAACCAAAGCTCAGGCCTGAAATCATATTCTTCACCAGAGTAGGACTCCTAGAGAGAGAGAGAAAGAGAGGGAGGGGAGGGTAGAAATAAAGAGAGAAAGAAACAGGTGGAGATTAGAAAAAAATATATATATATTGTCACGTATACCGGATAGATGCAGTGAAATATGTTGTTTTTACAGGGTCAGCCATGGTGCGGCAGGTAGCCTAGCGGTTAAGAGCGTTGGGCCAGTAACCAAAAGGTTTTTCACCTTGTTGGCTCAGGTATTCGAACCAGTGACCTTTCAGTTAACCGCTAGGTTACCGGCTGCCCACATTGAGTGCATGTGTGCAAAGGAGTTGCTCCAGACAAAAACAACAAACAAATGCACCCACTACACACACACACACACACACACACACACACACACACACACACACACACACACACACACACACACACACACACACACACACACACACACACACACACACACACACACACACACACACACACACACACACACACACACACACAACAGCGGTTTCCAGTCTCTGATATCTGCTGTGCAGGCATGTGTGTGTTTATTTAAGTGTGTTTGTGTTTGATTGTGTAATTTGGCCTGATTTCTCTGGCAGTTGGAAATAAAATATTTTTGCACATGCTAACAAGCCTCTGTCCTCCATGTGTGTCTGTGTGTGAAGATTTCTTTACACATGCTTCACGCTAACAAACCTCTCTCCACCCTGCATCATTGACAGCTTCATAGTAATGGTGTCAACAAACACGTAGAATGGGAAACACACACATGCACACACTTAGATATGAAACACACACACACTGACATAGCAGGCATTTATATTTGACTCCTGAGTTAACCCCTTGGTAATAATGACACAATTATACATGACAACACCTATAACCTCACACACTCATCACAAACACATATCATCAGAGCCCAGGGTGGGCAGGCAGGCAGATTAATGTGGGAGATAAATGTGTTTGTGTGTGATAAGTTTGTACCCGGTCATCTTTGGTGGTCTCCTCTTTTGGTATTCCACTTCGTCCACAGTCCACACGGCCCCCTTCACGTTCTCCACCCTCACAAAACACTTATGCAGACTCAGGTTGTGGCGCACAGCGTTCTGAATGGAGGGAAAGAGACACAGAGAGAGGGAGATAGAGATAGAGAGACAGAGGGAGAATGAAGGAGATCATTTGCTTTCATAAGCATGTAGAGATCCAGCCTGAAAAGAGCACCTTGTAATGGTTATTTACAGTTGTTCTGAACAAAATCAAATATGACAAAAACCTGCTCAGACAAAGAAGTAAACTAATGGCTCCTGCACAGGAGCATGGTGTAGAGACACACACACTAAAACACTATTCTGTCTGTGGCATGTGCATCCCCTCCCCTGGTTTTATTTTAACATTTCTTTAATCAGCCACAATCTACACACACACACACACCACACACCACACACACACACTCACACCGCTATCTGCGGCTCACTCCCCTAGGGACAGTCCTCTCTTTTCATCTGCTGTTTGGAGTTTGTTCATGCCCTATTTCATTACCAATTTTAATTTGTCTATAATTAAATCCCGCATATTTTCTCTGACACGCTTTTTTAATCCGTGAGGGAGGGACAGGCAGAGCGCGCATCACTCCTCACCGTAATTACACACACACACACGCGCGCACACACACACATACACACACACACGTAATTACACAAACCATAATCAGCCCCAGACCCCCCCCCCCCCCCCCGCCCCTCTTCCCCCCCCACACCCCCCCCCTCCCCCCTTCTCTTTCAAGCCGTGATGCTCAGTTTTGTAAATGAGTATGACCCCAATCTCAGCCTGCCACCCCGCCATCGCTGCTCCTCTGCTATTCTCTGCTATTTGCATTTGTCTCCGTGATGAAAGACTAATTCGCACAGTTAAAACATTAGCAGTCATTTACAGCAGGTCACAGCACACGCCACACACACACACACACCCAGCAGACACACACATAAACACAACACACCCTGCAGTGGTTGGGGAGAGGAGAGGGGAGAGAGGTGTGTAGAGAAGGGTAGGGGTAAATGTGGGAAAGGGGAGTTGAGGGGACGGGGAGAAGGAAGACAGGTGGAAAAGAGAGGTATGGGTAATGCTAGTGGTAGTATTGGAGAGAGGTAGGGGAACAGCTAGGGGACGTATAGGGGGGTAGGGATGAGGCTCGGGGTAAGGAGAGGAGGGTGTTAGGGGTGTTAGAGGGGTGGAATGTGTGTGACACAGTGCCCACACAACAGACGTGTAGTTCTTACCTTTCAGCGTACACCCCTTCAATTATTATCCTTAATGTGATATTAGAATTCTTAAAGGTACCACATTGGCACCAAATGTTCAAGACAGACTCTTAAATTATATTTTGCTGGAATATCTTCTGCTGAATGTGACCCTGCTTTCTACCCATAAAAAACAGTTCTCAACCATATTCAGAACCTTGGAGAAATTAAATCACTGTTTAAAGCTCTCTGACTGGACAGTCTGGAGTTCACCTCTCCCTCACTCCTTCTCCTCTCTCTCTCTCTGATCAATGACTTCCCATGGCTGACACTTGCTCTCCTCATGAAATAACCAGGCCCATTAAAGGACATACGTCTTCCTCTATATTTAATACAGGCCAAACCTCCGGACACTCCATACATATATTAATATATAAAGGTAGATATTTAAAGGGCTGGTCCTAGGTGGAGAGGAAGCGGGAGAATACATTAATTGTAAAATTTCATAAAAGTGAGATGAGGCGGCAAAGATATTCCTGGCTGGCATCTCCCTCCCTCCCTCCCTCCCTTAGTCCCTCTCTCCCTTCCTGCCTCCCTTCCCAATTCAAGGCTATTAGCGCGAGGCTCGGGCCGTGACACCCCCTCTTCACCCCTCCTCTCGTCTGTCTCTCTCGTTCTCTCGCTCATTCTCCCTCTCTCTCTCTCTGGAGGAGCTGACACTCAGTAGAAATGGGTCAGCACCTACACTGTCAGGTTCTAGCCAGGTGTGTGTGTGAATCTGTGTGTGTGTGTGAGTTATAGACTGCGAGAGTGTGTGTGTGAGTCTGTGTGAGAAGCCATTGAGTGTGTGTGTGACTCTGTAATGAGGCTCTGTGATAGTGAGATGTGTTTCCACTGAGCTAAGTGGAACCGTCTTCGTAGGCCATGTGAGAGCTCACAGAACTCTCCAGAAGACCAGGAGGGAGGGAAGAAGAGGGCGGGATAGAGGGAAGGAAGGGAGGGAGGGAGGGAGGGAGGGAGGGAGGGAGGGAAGGGAGGGAGGGAGGGAGGGAGGGAGGGAGGGAGGGAGGGAGGGAGGGAGGGAGGGAGGGAGGGAAGGGAGGGAGGGTAGGTGGGGGTGGGTAAGTCAAATCTAACACCTCTCTGTAAAGAAACACAGCCACATGGAGTGAGTCCACACACTTACGCACACACACACTCCACTCAGGGCATTGTGGGTAAAATGGCTTATAATCATCAAAACAGCTTGGTGTTTCAATGGCCATGTCAGTTTTTGAGGCTGCCGAGTGTGTGTGTGAGTGTGTGGGTGTATGTGTGGGGAGGAATATTGTCTAATCTGTGTGTGTGTGGATGTGCAGCGTATGTACAGTAGGTGAGTGACCATGTGTGTATGCTGAGGAGTGTGTGTGTAGGAATATGTGTGGACTCACCTTCCACGTGGCTGTGTTTCTCCTGAAGTAGGCAAACATTCGCGTAAACCAGTTATAGATCTCATTAAGAGTCAGCTGCCTGTCTGGAGCCTCCAGAATGGCCTAGAGAGAGACAGAGAGGGGACAACATTAGACAACGTCTCAACAGAGGTATCAATGGTTCACAAAACTAAAATGAGAGAAGAGAGGAAGAAGGAGGAGAGGTGGATGGAAGGAGGGGAGAGAATTTGAGTTGCTAGGGGAGGAGGAAAGGAAGATGAAAGGAGATGACAGGAAGAGAAAAGGAAGAGAGGAGGATAAAAGGAGGAGAGGAGACTTACATGGCGTATGAGAGAGGCGTAGGTGAAGGGAGGTCTGACATCAGCGTTCTTATAGAACTCACAGTTCTGTGCCAGCTCTACAGAGACAACACACACCACATTAGTCATGGATATGTGTATTTGTGTGTGTGTGTGTGTGTGTGTGTGTGTGTGTGTGTGTGTGTGTGTATCTTTAAGTCAGTCAGTGAGTAAGACTTTGTGAGCATGTGTATACCAGTATGCTTGTATATATTAAAATGTTTGTGTGTACACAAGTGTGTGTTTTTGAGGGTTGTATGCATACCCTCTCGTATACCTGAAGCGATGGGGGTGCAGAACTTGTCAGCGTTGCGCCTGCGTATGGGTCCCACGCCGTGCGGGTGTGAGTGTGAGTGTGAGTGTGAGTGCAGGCTGGAGGAGCTGATGACAGTGGGGCCCTGGCGGAGCGGGGTGATGGGGGCGGTGGCGGAGGTTGGGGGGTGAGGTAGACCCTCGGGGTACGCCTCGCTCTCCCTCTTCAGCAGGGAGCCACTGGACGCCAGGTTCAGCTGGGGAAGGAAACAGGATGTGACATCATCAGAAAGGGACCATCATCATTCATGGTTCTAGCTTGCCCTCTGGTAGGATAGATGGACAGTTAGCTATGTTGCTTCGACTTATCTAATCCTTTCAGACACATTAAACACAGAGACATGAAGAGTGATGCCAGCTGGCACAAAGACTATATCTATCATAAGATCATTAACTCTGCTAGTGGAGAACAAAACAAAGACCTCTGACTCAGTTACACAGACACAAACTGCAATTAGCCCTCAGTGAACAAAAGCAAAACAAAGCAAGCGATGGGAGTATGTGTGTGTGGAGGCCTCTGTGGTCACACACACACAGCGGTGGAACACTCTCTTCATGGCCCAGCTCGGCCCAATTAGGCAGAGCCCACAGGAGCAATGGGAACTGGAAACCAGTCCTCTGAGTCACTCAGGGACGCTTTTCCAAGGGCTGCTAGTTTAGAGCTAATTAAAACCATCATGTGTGAGTGAGAGAGAGAGAGAGAGAGAGAGCATTATCTGAATGATCTTATACAGACCTCTGTCTTCCTTCCTCTTTCTCTCTTCCCCTTCTCTCTCTTTCACCTTCCCTTCTCTTTGTCCTTCTCTATCTTTCCAGTCCTAACCAATCCCCCCTCCTCTCCTCCCCTACTTGTCCTTGCCCTGTCTGCTCCAGACGAGTGGTCTGTACCATTCGGACTGATTAGGGGTCAGGCCTGTATCTGCTACTTCATTAGCTCTGGAAATCTGCCTCTTTCTTTCTTTCTCTCTAGCAGCTCTCTCTCTCCTTCCCTCCTCTCCTTTCATCCCTCTGTAAAACAGGTACTTCATTAGCTTTGGAACCCGGCCACATCACCAAGGCAACACCACAACCCTCTCAATTGAGGGCAAGTTTTGTTGCCATTCTGAAGACTCCTCCCCTCCACCCCCCTCCTCAAATCGCTGACCTAGAGGCTTGTCTCCCACAACGACACAGGACACACCTCTTCCTGATTTCCCATTAGGTGCAAACGACAGCTGATGCCCTGCGTTGGCTCCACACACACACACACACACACACACAAACGTCCCGCTGCTCCACTGCAACCATTTATATCCCCTCAAATTAAGACACTCCACTTCTAATTGACAATTAATTTCAACATATTCATATTTTAATAAGACTCCTCGTCAATCTGAATAATGAAATATTCATTAGATACCTAATAACAACCCTGCCTGTGCCAGCCAGCCAGCCTGCCTGGAGACACACAGCTCCATCCCTCAACACAGTGTTAATTCTGGCACTCTTTTTTTTATATTTAGTCTAGTCTTTTGTCATTTGACTAATGATTTAGTCCAGCTATTGTCAAAATTACGAAAACAGTGGGCCATTTTAGTAAACTAAATGCGCTTTCACTTTAGCCACGTTTTAGTCACATCACAGAAATATGCCAACATATACAATTGAAGTCGAAGGTTTACATACACTTAGGTTGGAGTCATTAAAACACGTTTTTCAACCACTCCACAAATTTCTTGTTAACAAACGATAGTTTTGGCAAGTCGGTTAGGACATCTACTTTGTGCATGACACAAGTAATTTTTCCAACAATTGTTTACAGACAGATTATTTAACTTGTAATTCACTATATCACAATTCCAGTGGGTCAGAAGTTGACTGTGCCTTTAAACAGCTTGGAAAATTCCAGAAATGATGTCATGGCTTTAGAAGCTTCTGATAGGCTAATTGACATCATTTGAGTCAATTGGAGGTGTACCTGTGGATGTATTTCAAGGCCTACCTTCAAACTCAGTGCCTCTTTGCTTGACATCATGAGAAAATCAAATGAAATCAGCCAAGACCTCAGAAAAAAAATAGTAGACCTCCACAAGTGTGGTTCATCCTTGGGAGCAATTTCCAAACGCCTGAAGGTACCACGTTCATCTGTACAAACAATAGTACGCAAGTATAAACACCATGGGACCACGCAGCCATCATACCGCTCAGGAAGGAGACGCGTTCTGTCTCCTAGAGATTAACGTACTTTGGTGCGAAAAGTTCAAATCAATCCCAGAACAACAGCAAAGGACCTTGTGAAGATGCTGGAGGAAACAGGTACAAAAGTATCTATATGCACAGTAAAACGAGTCCTATATCGACATAACCTGAAAGGCCGCTCAGCAAGGAAGAAGCCACTGCTCCAAAACCGCCATAAAAAAGCCAGACTACGGTTTGCAACTGCACATGGGGACAAAGATCGTACTTTTTGGAGAAATGTCCTCTGGTCTGATGAAACAAAAATAGGACTGTTTGGCCATTATGACCATCGTTATGTTTGGAGGAAAAATGAAGAACACCATCCCAACCGTGAAGCACGGGGGTGGCAGCATCATGCTGTGGGTGTGCTTTGCTGCAGGAGGGACTGGTGCACTTCAGAAAATAGATGGCATCATGAGGAAGGAAAATTATGTGGCAACATCTCAAGACATCAGTCAGGAAGTTAAAGCTTGGTCGCAAATTGGTCTTCCAAATGGACAATGACCCCAAGCATACTTCCAAAGTTGTGGCAAAATGGCTTAAGGACAACAAAGTCAAGGTATTGGAGTGGCCATCACAAAGCCCTGACCTCAATCCTATAGAAAATTTGTGGGCAGAACTGAAAAAGTGTGTGCGAGCAAGGAGGCCTACAAACCTGACTCAGTTACACCAGCTCTGTCAGGAGGAATGGGCCAAAATTCACCCAACTTATTGTGGGAAGCTTGTGGAAGCCTAAACAAATGGTTAACGGTCCGCAAGTAGCCTAGGTTTCGAATGGCCCACGAAATGCTTTATAAATGTCAAATGCGGCCTGCTAATGCACGATAGAAAGAAAATAACGTAGCGCCTGTATTATGGGTCATGTCTTTTGAAAGGGCTAGAATCATGCCATTTTCTCTGAGGAAAAGAGGGAGACTTGGCTATGTTGGCTACATAAACTGTATATGAAATGCAGTGGGAAAAGTGTGAGGGTTGAGCGAGACTACAAATTCAAGGAGCCTACTTTTCTATAGCCTACTCAAGGGAGATAAAAACATAGCTAGACTGTTGTTTTACTATTAAACTCAATGCTGCTATTGTTTTTAATTTCGTAAAGCAGCTTGTGTTTCTTAACCAGGCAAAGGGTAGCTTGCTAGAAGGCTGGTGGTGACTGGTTAGCTACGTGGAAGCAAGAGAGTCTCCTGCACGATGTGTATAATCGGAGGCAGAGCGGAGCCGGTCTTCCCACACTCATCGCTTGCTCCCCGGCAGCTCACAAGCTAATGTAGGCTGTGTTTGCTGGGTGTGACGCGTCCTTCCCACTGCTGAATAGAACTGCGCTGCGCACCTGTGCTGCTGATATTAATTGTGCTTATTACTGAAAAGCTCTCAATCTCTCCAAAAACTATTGTCCAGTCCACTTAGTACACAGATTTTTGTCACAGAGATCATTTTGTCTCGTCTCGTCGTTTAGTCAACTGAAATGAAAAATATTTTTGGTTTAGTTATAGTTTTTTCTGGGTCTAATTAGTCTTGTCAATTGCCACTGAAAAATAAGGTGTTTGACAAATATTTTAGTAATTATCTTAGTTGACGAAATTCACACTGTCTCAACAGGGCAGACTGAATGATGGATGGCTCACACACACCGAAAAATTCACCCACATTTCAATACTTTATTTGGATAAAGCTTGTGTGGTTTTTTGATTTATGTTGGTATTGTGATCAAAGGTTATGGAATTCTTATAATCAGATTATTACTCCATTATAGTTTATTACAGGGACCTGTGCTCATATATAAATCAAGAACAACATCCCTTATGCATATTTCTATACTAATAATGAACGCTATAGATAACCCTAAAGTGAATAAAGTCCAACTGTAAGCCTCACTGATCAACAGAGGGCGCAAACACCAAGCCTGACTGAACACACACCCCAAAACTCTGAGAAACACAAATACACTTCAGTAGCAACTTCTACAGCATGGTGAGAGGTAAGTGGTCAGGGGTGAGAGGTCAGGTACTCACAGGTTGGTTGAAAGGCTTTGGCTCCGATGGGCGCATGTGCAGGTGGGTCATCATGGCCTGCAGTCGCTCACTCTCCTTGGCCAGCTGAGAAACACACCCATACAGACACACACGTCAGCAAATTGTACTTTTTGAGTCAATGATTACTATTGTCATAGACAAGAAGCACGGTAGTAAGAAATAGGCTCAAGCTCCATTCACACCAACCTGGGTTTGTCTTGATGTTTATAGACTGCTGGTTTATTCTCACACTGTGGACTTGATATTATCCAGTCAAGCCACATCAGTGTCAATGCAACATCAGCCTCCCATTAAACCAGTAAAACACAGCTATTTAGGGAAGGGTGTGAAGTAATGGGTGTTTGTGTTAGAGAAAGAGGCATCCCCTTAGTCTATGATTTAGCATGTGGTAGTGTGTGTGTGTGTGTGTGTGCAGGTGCGTGTGTGTGTCTCAGGGCTGTTCTCACTGTCTCACAGCACCAGTCTCCCCAGGCAGAGAGAGAGACGGGAACCCCCTCTACACACACACACCTAACATTTTCTCACACATTACACACACACACTCACAGACACATACACACTAGCCTGCAGACACTCGTCCCCGTTCGCCATTGCTAACTGCCGTTTAGTGGGAGCTGCTGTGCTATAGCCTTTGGAAACGTATGTGTGTGTGTGTGTACTATCGTAGCCTGTGGAAACGCCTCCCTGCATCTCCACTGAGAGACATCTCAGTCAGCGAGCCAACACACCACAGTTAGGGGCTAGCTAGAGAACAGGAGTGTGTGTGTGAGACAGAGGCCTGGAGAAGCTGGCTGAATGAGGCCAGCACTAGGCTGTGTGTGTAGTAGTATGGCAGCATTGAGTGAGTGTGTGTAAGATGTGTGTGTGTGTGAGTATATCTGTGTATGTAGGTACTATAACAGGGCGGTAGGTGACATGGCAGGGAAAAGGGGAGAGGGCGGGAGGCCTGATGTGATGTGACACCGCCTGCCTCTCTGTCACTTTGTGTTCCCCAGCGGTGGCTTCAGCCGTGGGGCTCAACGGCGTTTACCAGGGCCACGGCTAACCCTAACCCTAGCTCCAGCCCAAACAACCTGGGTTCGCCACTACGCTGTTTGTGGGTTATTGTGGGGTGTTTGTGTTTGGCTGCTGTGTCAGTCCTGACAGGCAGGGCTCAGAGGTCCGGAAATCTAAACACACGCATACACACACTCGTCATCATCTTGATGTCCACCCCTCTTCCTCCTCCTTCCCTCCTTTCACCTAGTACTCTTCCCTTCTCTCCCAGTAGAGAGGGACTGGACTGGGAGGTTTATAATGGGGTCCTGTGATGGCAGCTTTCCTCTTTTAAATTACAAGCTCCAGTGCTTTCACTAAACCCCCAGCCTGGCTCAGACAAGTACAGACACAGATAATGCCTGTGTGTGGGTGTGTTTGTGTGGGTGTGTGTGTTTGTCCCACCTGTATCTCCAGCTGTTGGACCACCTGCATCTGCACCCTGCACTGGGCTGTACTGCGGTCGTCCAGAGCATGCTCATTGTTCAGATGCCTGAGAAAGGAGGAGAGAGGGAGGGGAAGGGGGAGAGAGAGAGAGGAAGGAGGAGAGGTAGAGGGAGAGGAAGGAGGAGAGGTAGAGGGAGAGGGAGGAAGGAGATGGTAGAGGAAGGAGGAGAGAGGGAGAGAGAGGGAGCGGAAGGAGGAGGAGAGAGGAAGTAAGGGAGAGATTTAGCGGAAGAGGAAGAGGAGAGAGGAGAGAGAGAGGAGGAGAGAGGGGAGTGGGAGGAAGTGGGCTAGATAGAGGGAAGAAGGATGAGCGAGAGAGCGAGAAGGGGGAGTGATAGCGGACGGCGGAGAGAGAGAGGTAGAGGACGGGAGACAGTGGAGGGTGAGAGGAAGGAGAGAGGTAGCGGGAGAGGAAGGAGGAGAGAAGAGGGAAAGGGGGAGAGGGGGGGGGGGAGAGAGGGGGAGAGGAAGGGGGGGGGGGAAGAAGGAGAGGGGAGGAGGAGAGGTAGAGGGAGAGAAGGGGAAAAGATAGGGAAGGGGGAGAGTGAGAGGGAGGGGGAAAGGGGGGGAGGAAAGGGGGGGGGGGAGAAGGGAGGGAAGGGGGGAGAGGGAGAGGAAGGAGGAGAGGTTTGAGGGAGAGGAAGGAGGGAGATGGGAATGAGGGGAGAGGAGGGAAGAAAGGGGGGAAGGGGGAGGGGAGAGGGAGGAAAGGGGGGGGTAGAGGGAGAGAAAAGGGGGGGGGAAAGGGGGGGGGAGATAGAGGGAAGGGGGATAAGGGAGAGGGGGAAGGGGGAAGGGGGAAGGAAGGAGAGGGGAGGAGGAAAGGGGGGGGAGAGGAAGGGAGGAGAGAGGGAGAGGAAGGGGGGGGGAAAGGGGAGGAGGGGAGGGGGAGAGAGTGGGAGAGGAAGGAGGGAGAGTGGTAGAGGAAGCGAGGAGAGGTAGGGGAGGCGCGAAGGGGAGAGGATGAGGGACGGGGGAGCGAAGAGGGAGAGGGGAGGGAGAGGAGGGAGAGGGTAGAGGAAGGAGGGAAGTGTAGCGGGGAGAGTAAGGGGGGCGATAGCGGGGAGGGGATAGAGGGGAGGATGGGGAAGAGAGATACGGGGAAGGAAGAGAGGAGAGAGGCAGCAGAGAAAAGGGGCGAGAGAGGAGGGAAGGGGGCGGAGACGATGGGGAGAGGAAGGGGGAGAGAGAGAGGGAGAGGAAGGAGGAGAGAGAGGGAGAGGAATACAACTGGGTTATAACCTACATGAAAAGCAAAAGAAAGCATATTAATCCGTAATTTATTTTCTTCCATATTCACACATATTCAATGGAACACATTCAATGTGTGTGTGTATGTCCCCTGTAGCTCACTTGGTAGAGCAGGGTTGTGGGTTCGTTTCCCACGGGGGGCCAGTATGAAAAATGTATGCACTCACTAACTGTAAGTCGCTCTGGATAAGAGCGTCTGCTAAATGACTAAAATGTAAATGTATGTGTGTGTATGTGTGTGTGTGTCATTCCCAGAAGACAGTAGGGAGATGGTTGTGAGTGAGTGTGCAGCAGACACATAAGCTCCAGTTTGTGTGATTCCGACCAATGGTGACTTCATATAAATAAATCTTCACATTTATGTGACTGTAGATAGTTGTTTATTTTCCTGTTTAGAGGTTTTCAAGAGACCAGAGGGCTTCACACTCCTATCGACACAGACACAAGCGGAAACACACGGAAACACACACAATAGTTGGCTTGCACCAAACACTTCAGAGTATAAACTAGATTTCCTCCTCACAGAAAAAAACATAAAATCAAAACATGAAAGAGTCAACTGTTGAACTCAGTGTTAAACAAAACAACCAAACAGTTTACACAGTGGAGGAGAGATTGCGTGAGAGTGTGTAAGAGGAGGTTATGTAAAGAATAATATTATAAGTGTATCATTTCCTTATAAGCTTATTCCTTTCAGTGTAAAAGCAGACTGTGTGTGTGTGTGTCCTGCTCTTTAGGCTATGCACTCAACACCTGGATATTAGCTCATGCATTATCAGAGGAACAGAGAGAGGATCTAATCTCTGACTTACTCTTAATACACTTCTGCCTCCCTGAAATGTGTATGTGTGTGTGTGTTTGTTATGTGTCTGAATGGTGGCACTGTTCGTTTCCTCTGCTGTGGGAGGATCCAGGACCTTCTGATCCCTCCCTCCCTCCCTCCCTACCCCCTCTTTCTCTCTCCCTCCCTCCCTCCCTCCCTCCCTCGATCTTCTGTCATCGGCAGCTTTATTTGCAGGAGGGAGAGAGAGAAGGGAGCGGGTAGACCCTGAATGTGTTTGAGTGTGTGTTCAACTATTGTATGTGCCATGAAAATAGTTTCTGGAATTTCTATATGACGTGTATTCCTGACTATCTGTGACCAAGGACTGCAGGGGACATTCCTTTTTCTCTGCTCATGACAACTCTGAGACGTGTGTGTGGCGTTTAGAGAATCATGACCCTGTGTGTCTTGACCCTGTGTGTCTTTAAGAGAACGGGGAGTTGGGGAATATCAGGAGGAGAGAAGAAATGAAACAATAACAATGATGTCATGGCATAGCTAATCCCGGCATAGATAGACGACTCAAGAGCAGGATAATAATAACAAAAACATGAGCACCCCGCCTCCCACGCCCCCGTCGCAGCGGCCGCCACCCCCCGCGACGCGGCGCCGCACGCCCGCCGCGGCCACTCCCCTCTCTCTCTCCTCCACTCCCCCCCGCCGCGTCGTCTTCCCACCGCCCCACTACCGCAGCGCGCCGCCTACGCCCCCCGCGCCGTCGGCCCCACGCCCCCGCGCGCACGCGCCGCCCCGCCGGCCCAGCCGCCCGCGCGCCGCCACGCCGCCCAGCGCGGCTGCGCCACCCCCCCGGCGAGGCGCCGCCACGCCCCCGCGCGCGCGCGCCGCCGAACGCCCCCCCGCGCGGCGCCGCCACGCCCCCGCGCGCGGCGCCGCCACGCCCCCGCGCTCGGCGCCGCCACGCCCCGCGCCGGCGCCGCCAAGCCCCCGCGCCGGGCGCGCCCACGCCCCGCGAGGCGCCGCCACGCCCCGCGCGCGGCTCCGCACGCCCCCGCGCGCGGCGCCGCCAGCCCCCGCGCGGCGCCGCCACGCCCCGCGCGCGGCGCCGCCACGCCCGCGCGCGGCGCCGCCAACGCCCAACGCGCGCGCGACCGCCACGCCCACCGCGCGCGGCGCCGCCACGCCCAGCGAGCGGGCGCCACGCCCGAACGCGCGCGGCGCCGCACAGCGAAGCGCGCGCGCCGCCAACCCCGAACGCGGGGGCCGCACGCCGAACGCGCGCGGGCCGCCACGCCCGAACGCGCGCGGCGCCCAGCCCGAACGCGCGCGGCGCCGCCACGCCCAACGCGCGCGGCGCCGCCACGCCCGAACGCGCGCGCGGCGCACGCCCGAACGCGGCGCTGGCCGCCAGCCCAGAACGGCGCGCGCCGCACGCCCGAACGCGCCGGCGCCGCACACGCCCGAACGCGCCGCGGCCGCCACGCCCGAACGCGCGCGCCCACGCCCGAAGTCGCGCCGCCACGCCCGAACGCGGCGCGGCGCCCCACGCCCAACCGCGCGCCGCGCACGCCCGAACACGCGAGGCGCCTCCACGCCCCCGCGCCCCACCCAATGCGTGCGCGCCACGCCCGAACGCGCGCCGGCCGCCACGCCCGAACCGCGGCGCCGCACGCCCGAACGCGCGCGGCGCCGCAGCCCGAACGCGCGCGGCGCCGCACGCCCGAACGCGCGGGCGCCGCCACAGCCGAACGCGCGCGGCGCCGCCACGCCCAACGCGCTCGGCGCCGCCACGCCCGAACGCGCGCGCCGCCACGCCCGAACGCGCGCGGCGCCGCCACGCCCGACGCGCGGCGCCGCCACGCCCGAACGCGCGCGCGACGCCGCCACAGCCCAAACGCGGCAGCTGCACCGCCGAACGCCCGAACGCGCGCCGCGGCCCGCCACGCCCGAACCTCTCGCTACCCCACCCCGAACGCGCTCCGTCACGCGCCCACCCTCTGTAACCTAACACAATTTTTTCCTTTTTCTCTTTCCAATCTCCCACTCTAACTCACTCTCTTCTCTCTCTCCCTCCTCTCTCTTCTCTCTCTACCCTCTCCCTCTCCCTCCTCTCTCTCTGTGGCTCAGTCATAAACAGTAGCAGGGTTTTTTCCGTGCGTCCCGACAATGAGTCTCTGTTTACTCCTCAGCCCTCTCAGACAGAGATTCAACCCACATTACACATTACCCTCAGCCCCACTAACCACAGCCAACAGAGTACTATACCAGACAGCACTGACAGAGCGAGAGAGACGGGAGGGAGGGGAGGAGAAATTAGTGAATATCTCTACTATGCCCCCAAAAAATATTAGATAGAAGAGGAGAGGAGAAAAGAAGAAAAGAGGTGATGGGAAGAGAGGAAAGGGGGAGAGAAAGAGAGAGATCACAGATCAGATTAAAGAAAAGAGCTGGAAATAGGAGAGTGTCTCCTATCGTCTCTTCTCTTCTCTTTCTGCCCGGAGCGATGACTAAGGAAGGCTGGAGGGGCACGCATTATCTGTCACCATTTGGTTCCTCTCTCCCTCCATCTGCCCTGAGGCTGTGTGAAATGAGACACCAAACAACAGCTTTCGTCTCCAAACTTTCCCAGCCTGCCTCTGGCTTTGATCTGACTGTCCGCTGCCATCATCTCACAACACACTTCTCTCTCTGTCTATCTGTGTGTGTGTGTACCATGCCGTGTTAATACACACTATCCCTGGTGATATCAGCTCAGAGTTGATCATTAGAAAGACAGTTACTCTCCCTTACGGACCATTGTTTTGGTTAGGCCTTGGTTAAGGGTTCGTTAGGCCTCTGTTAAAGGGTTCATAATGGGTTTGTTAGGTGTTCGTTATGTGGTAGCGGCAGTTGGACTGTCCTGAAGCTTACAGTAGTAGAGATATCAGGATCTCAGTGGATCAAACAGTGTGTATGGATGTGCCTGTGTGTATGACTGTGTTCGTACATGTGACATGTTGTCTGTGGTGTCATCACTCTAACAAATAGTGACAGCTGACTGTTTACACCAGGCTTAGATGTATTACCCCTTATTCCCAATAGTACACACAAGCTCACACACACAAGCTCACACACACACACACGGATCTCCCCTGCTATACCCCTTCCCCCCTCCTGCTTCACACACCATCCCTAAAGACTCCAAACTGGCAAACAGACAAGAAAGAGGGATAAAGAAAGGCAGAAAGAAGAGAGAGGAGGAAAGCAGAGGGGAGATGGATGGAGAGGGAGCTGCTGTTTGATGTCTTTGCTAGCGCCATGGAAACAAAAAGCTGTGATTGTAAATTAGCTAATTAAGTAAACCGCTAACGAAGCGTGGAAACAATTTGCTTGACCCTTCAGAGCAGAGAACTCTGGGAGCACAACACTAATCAGCTAGAGACGGGAGGGACACACACACACACACACACTGAGTGACTTGTACTATCTTGTTAAGTGTAGCCTCAGATTCTTTGATACCTTCTCAGCACCGTCTCACAAGTGTCTCTCACAACACACCACTTAAAACATTTAGCAGCCAATGAAACATGCAGCAGAGCAGAGATAGAGGGGCAGAGGGGAGGGATTAAGGGATGACAGAAGGCTGACAGAGAAAGAGAGAGTGACAGAGCTGTTGAATAATGTAGATGGACACACAATAGCAAATCGCTCTGCTCCTCCAAGGGAGCCTGATGTAACCGATAGCAACTGATCAATGATTAATTCTTTAGAGTCTAAGATGTTGGGGGAGTGGGGGGTGCTAAACTGGCATATGGAATTGTTTTAAGATGGTCATACTATGGATCATTTAGCTATATGATTTAGAATTTTAGGACCCATTTAGGTATCAAAATATATACAGTACCAGTCAAAAGTTTGGACACACCTACTCATTCAAGGGTTTTTCTTTCTTTTGACTATTTTCTACATTGTAGAATAATAGTGAAGACATCAAGACTATGAAATAACACATATGGAATCATGTAGTAACCAAAAAAGTGTTAAACAAATCAAAATATATTTTATATTTGAGATTCTTCAAAGTAGCCACCCTTTGCCTTGATGACAGCTTTGCACACTCTTGGCATTCTCTCAACCAGCTTCATGAGGTAGTCACCTGGAATGCATTTAAATTAACAGGTGTGCCTTGTTAAAAGTGAATTTGTGGAATTTCTTTCCTTCTTAATGCGTTTGAGCCAATCAGTTGTGTTGTGACAAGGTAGGGTTGGTATACAGAAGATAGCCCTATTTGGTAACAGACCAAGTCCATATTATGGCAAGACAGCTCAAATAAGCATCATTACTTTAAGAAATGAAGGTCATTCAATACGGAACATTTCAAGAACTTTGATAGTTTCTTCAAGTGCAGTTGCAAAAACCATCAAGTGCTATGGTGAAACTGGCACTCATGAGGACCACCACAGGAATGGAAGACCCAGAATTACCTCTGCTGCAGAGGATACTTTCATTAGAGTTACCAGCCTCAGAAATTGCAGACCAAATAAATGCTTCACAGAGTTCAAGTCACAGACACTACTCAACATCAACTGTTCAGAGGAGACTGCGTGAATCAGGCCTTCATGGTCGAATTTCTGCAAAGAAACCACTACTAAAGGACACCAATAAGAAGAAGAGACTTGCTTGGGCCAAGAAACACGAGCAATGAACATTAGACCGGTGGAAATCTGTCCTTTGGTCTGATGAGTCCAAATTTGAGATTTTTGGTTCCAACCGCTGTGTCTTTGTGATCTCCGCATGATCTCCGCATGTGTGGTCCCCACCGTGAAGCATGGAGGAGGAGGTGTGATGGTGTGGGAGTGCTTTGCTGGTGACACTGTCAGTGATTTATTTAGAATTCAAGGCATACTTAACCAGCATGGCTACCACAGCATTTTGCAGTGATACGCCATCCCATATGGTTTGCGCTTAGTGGGACTATCATTTGTTTTTCAACAGGACAATGACCCAACACACCTCCAGGCTGTGTAAGGGCTATTTGACCAAGAAGGAGAGTGATGGAGTGCTGCATCAGACAACCTGGCTTCCACAATCACCCGACTTCAACCCAATTGAGATGGTTTGGGATGAGTTGGACCGCAGAGTGAAGGAAAAGCAGACAACAAGTGCTCAGCAAATGTGGGAACTCCTTCAAGACTGTTGGAAAAGCATTCCAGGTGAAGCTGGTTGAGAGAATGCCAAGAGTGTGCAAAGCTGTCATCAAGGCAATGGGTCGCTACTTTGAAGAATCTAAAATCTAAATCTATTTTGATTTGTTGAACTCTTTTGGTTACTACATGATTCCATATGTGTTATTTCATAGTTTTGATGTTTTCACTATTATTCTATAATGTATAAAATAGTAAAAATAAAGAAAACCATTGAATGAGTAGGTGTGTCCAAACTTTTGACTGGTACTGTATATAAACAAATTATTTGATAAATATTGATTTTGGCCTTTACTACTAAAGTACATAGAAACCCATTGAATAACACATTCATAAATGGCAAAAAGGACAAACTAAATAAATAATTAGAAACAAGGTTTTGAAGTGTCTGTCCTAAATACTAGGAGATTTTTTATAAAAATCAGAAAATATTTATGTTTATATTTATGCACATATTTAACCCCTTTGTTGGGGTAGGCACACAACGACCTTCATACTTCCATTTTTTCTTTTTTTTTACTGGTACCGATTACCTTCAGACAAGTCCTGTGACAGTTGTCCCGTGACACAAAACGGAGAACACCATCGTGTTCGTGAGAGTCTCCCCTTTCCAAAGAAGGGTCATAATAGTTTATAGGTCAAACCGTTCGGACGCTACAGACATTTTCTTGAGAAGACCGATTTCCGGGATGTCTCATGGTCTGACAAACACCGCTCTAGCTCTGCCACCTTTCACCTCAGATGCAGAAGTGCGACATAGGCGGTTGCGGTGGATTGAGACACATCCAATGCAAAAAAACGGATATCTCTAGCTTAAACTGACAGATTTTGATGGGAATTGTTTTGTTATGTAACTTAGATTGATGCACCGGTGCGTCAATCAACTCTAGGGGGTTAAATGAAGGCTGTAGAACGCTACACTGACTTACACTCAGCGCCAGCTAGTTTGTTGGTAGAACGAGTCCTACACTAGTCATTAGAAAGTCATGCTAGAAAGAGTGAATGTGCCAATCTCTTGGGCCACTTCCATTATTTGTAGCATGAACTGACTAACACAGTGGTTGTGTGGAGGAGAGTAGTTTGGGAATGCAGCTTCAGGGTGTTACTCACTTGATGAACTGTCCCATGTCATCACATAGCGCCTCGCAGCCAGGCCATTTACACTCTCCATGGCCATAGAGAGGATGGGAACCTGCATGCTCCTCATGGCTGGGAGAGGGGGGGGGGGAGCAATAGCAGGTTAGAATGGTCTAAATCTGACATTACAAATGTACAGACATCACACACTATATAGGCAAGGACAGCTGAAATAAAGCAAGCAGACACTCACACATCAATACCACCAAACCATGCCTCTGAGCACCAAAAGCACACACACAGAGCAAACATCCATTGTTACACAGTAAGGCCATAGTTCCTTTAGTATCATAAGTGCGTAGTTAACATGAAGCTAAGAGCAGAATGGTGTGTGTGTTCCTCTGTTCTAAATGTTCATCCTCACACAGCACCAGTCCCTCCCTCCCTCCCTTCAGTCAGTGTGGGCGGGCAGAGACCCAGATGCCCTGTCTGATTGGTGCATAGTGGCGGTGGTCTCATCCCTCATATGGAGGTTGATCTGAGATGTGGCTGCAGGCTCTGTTTTGGTGAGACAGGTCTGTCTGTGTGTGTGTGTGTGTGTGGCTCGGAGATGCTGATTCTGGTTTGGACCGGGTCCAGGCTAGTGTGCGTGGTTCAGATTGTGCTCCAGATGTGGTTTGGCCCAGCCTGGCCTCGTGTCTGAGACACTACTACAGAGAGCTCACAGTTTATTTACATTAAATCTACTGCCATCCAGAGACGTACGGGCTGAAACAGCAATGTGCGTATGTGTGTGTGTTTGTGTGTGCGTGCGTGCGTGTGTGCGTGCGTGGAGTTGGTTGAGGCTTCTCCCAGATCCTCATCACAGTGTTGTCTAACACAAACCATCCCTCTCACAGATGGGACCATCCCAAAGACGAGCACACTCTTCCCCTCCTCTCCTTCCCATCTTTTCTCCTCCTCTCTTCCCCTTTTCCCCTCTCCCTGGTCAGATAAATTGGCAGTGGTTGTGCTGTGTGTATGTGTGTGTGTGTGTGCCTGTGTGCGTGTGTTGGCTGTGGTTGACTACTCTCAGTTCAGAAGCTGCTCAGACTGCAGACATTACAAACTACTGGAAAACCACACACCCGTTCACATCAGCCATGCATTAGCTGTAGCATGCTAGCCCCCTCCTTTCTCCTCCCTTCAATCTCCTCTGCATCCATGTTAGCATGGTAGCGTAGTATTAGCATGGGCCAGCCAAATAGCACAGGAGATTAGCGCTAAGCTAGCTCTCTTATACTTCCCCCACACAGAGGGAGCATGTCCTCATTCTGGGTATGTCAGGTCTGTGTGTGTGTGTGTGTGTGTGTTACTCACTGGCTACTGGATAGTGGGCCGCCTTTGGAGTAAGGCGTGAGGTGTTCATCTCCGAGGTCTGCCTTGCTGAAGGAGGAGATCCATTCAAAGAGTCTTGCTCTTAAAGATGGAATAGAAACATCCCACAGGTGAATACAGATGCACCCCTAACACCCTCAATACACACAACCTTAAAAACACATCTCTGAACACACAGGCACCTAACAAACACACACAAATAACAGCATGACACACACAACACGTTTTCTACTTTGTGTTCACATTCGCACAAAACATTTCTCAGTCACATGTACTCCTCCCCCCTCCTCCCTCCATCTCATAATGTTCAGCCAGACACACTCATGCCAAACTGGCACCTGGGCAGCAGTAGAGTAATAAGCTGTGCTCCACTCCAGATAACACACGCAAACACCACATACAGTTGAAGTCAGAAGTTTACATACACCTTAGCCAAATACATATAAACTCAGTTTTTCACAATTCCTGACATTTAATCCTAGTAAAAATTCCCTGTCTTAGGTCAGTTAGGATGATCACTTTATTTTAAGAATGTGAAATGTCAGAATAATTATAATTATTTATTTAAGCTTTTATTTATTTCATCACATTCCCAGTGGGTCAGAAGTTTACATACACTCAATTAGTATTTGGTAGAATTGCCTTTCAATTGTTTAACTTGGGTCAAACATTTCGGGTAGCCTTCCACAAGCTTCCCACAATAATTTGGGTGAATTTTGGCCCATTCCTCCTGACAGAGCTGATGTAACTGAGTCAGGTTTGCAGGCCTCCTTGCTCGCACACGCTTTTTCAGTTCTGCCTACACATTTTTTATAGGATTGAGGTCAGGGCTTTGTGATGGCCACTCCAATACCTTGACTTTGTTGTCCTTAAGCCATTTTGCTACAACTTTGGAAGTATGCTTGGGGTCATTGTCCATTTGGAAGACCCATTTGCGACCAAGCTTTAACTTCCTGACTGATGTCTTGAGATGTTGCTTCAATATATGCACATAATCTTCCTTCCTCATGATGCCATCTATTTTGTGAAGTGCACCAGTCCCTCCTGCAGCAAAGCACCCCCACAGCATGATGCTGCCACCCCCGTGCTTCACGGTTGGGATGGTGTTCTTTGTTTTGCAAGCCCTCCCCCCTTTTTCCTCCAAACATAACAATGGTCATAATGGCCAAACAGTTCTATTTTTGTTTCATCAGACCAGAGGACATTTCTCCAAAAAGTACGATCTGGGTTCTTCCTTGCTGAGCGGCCTTTCAGGTTATGTCGATATAGGACTCGTTTTACTGTGGATATAGATACTTTTGTACCTGTTTCCTCCAGCATCTTCACAAGGTATTTTGCTGTTGTTCTGGGATTGATTTGCACTTTTCACACCAAAGTACGTTAATCTCTAGGAGATTCTTCCTGAGCAGTATGATGGCTGCATGGTCCCATGGTGTTTCTACTTGCGTACTATTGTTTGTACAGATGAACGTGGTACCTTCAGGCGTTTGGAAATTGCTCCCAAGGATGAACCAGACTTGTGGAGGTCTACAATTATTTTTCTGAGGTCTTGGCTGATTTCTTTTGATTTTCCCATGATGTCAAGCAAAGAGGCACTGAGTTTGAAGGTAGGCCTTGAAATACATCCACATGGACACCTCCAATTGACTCAAATGATGTCAATTAGCCTATCAGAAGCTTCTAAAGCCATGACATAATTTTCTGGAATTATCCAAGCTGTTTAAAGGCACAGTCAATTTAGTGTATGTAAACTTCTGACCCACTGGAATTGTGATACAGTAAATTATAAGTTAAATAATCTGTCTGAAAACAATTGTTGGAAAAATTACTTGTGTCATGCACAAAGTAGATGTCCTAACCGACTTGCCAAAACGATAGTTTGTTAACAAGAAATTAGTGGAGTGGTTGAAAAACAACCTAAGTGTATGTACACTTCCGACTTCAACTGTAACAAATGAACTGAGGGCCGTATTACACACACCAGCCTATTGCACAGTACTTCACGGAAATACACACACACCCTACACACAACTACACACACACACACACTACACTACACACACACAAATACACACACCATCTTATTACACAACACTTTACACAAATACACAAACACCCTACACACACATAAACACAGCATGGTAATACAAAGAGTATCTTTGTCAGAGTGAACTTCTCCCTAAACCAAGGAGAGGCAGTCCAAAGACATAGTAACTATGTGTGAATTAGTTACAGCACAGTTCATCTACAGGACACATGGAGTACACATCAGTCACACTGTATCACTATCTGTCTACATCACACTCTCTCTAGCTCTATCGGAGCTGTGTGTGATCTTCTGTGTGTGTGTGTGTGTGTGTGTGTGTGTGTGTGTGCGTGTGTGTGTGTGTGTGCGCATGAGCCACGTTTGTTTGCAATCATCTAACAATAACTTATTGAACCTCTGTATGAAATATTCCCCTGAGGTATTTCCACATAGCATTACATTATTTATATCTGCGCTGTAGCGCAGGGAGACTTTTGTAATGGACCCAACTGTACCTGTCTCTGTACCTGTCTCTCTTTGGGGTGTGGTTGTCTTGTCCGTTGTGCAGGCTGTGCAGGGTGCTGTGTGTGTTTGCTTTGGGGAAGGAGGATGAGGTAGAGTTGGTGCTGAGATCCAGGCCCTCTCCAGTCTGCTGCTGCTTCAGGGCCTCCTCTGCAGACTGCACCCCCGACACCTCCTTCCACAGCTGCTGCAGGTCCCCTGGACACATGGCTGCAGGGGGGAGGAGGGGGGTGGGGTGGAGGAGGGAAGGGGGGGGGGGGGGGGGGGGGGGGTGGTGGACATAGAGTTATTAGATATTAGTCACAAAAATAACCCCCTACCCTGAGACACATGCAGGCTATCCACACACACATATGCATACATGCACTCACACACCGAGAGACTCACGCATGCACTCACACATACATAGACACACACTGGGACGAGCCCCCTGGGAGTGGTTAAGTATGAGGGAAATGATGGGGTAGGAACTGGAAGAAACTAAAGACTAATTCCTGTATGTTTTTGTTATCTTTCTACATCTCCTCTATTCCCCAACCTCCCGTTAGTAATTACTGCAGTCCGATGCTACCAACGCTTCTTTTGTCACTGTGAGCGCTATGCTGTGTGTGAGTGTGTGGGTGTGTGTCTGAGGCTCAGTTTAGGGGCTTGTTGTAGCTTTTTCTGCTCATATTTCACTTTAAGAGAGAAAGCTCCACCCAACAGCCCCCCCAACACACACCAGACCACCATACCCTCTCTGCATCTGGCCCAAGCTGTTCCTGAGCCACAGCCTTTAGTCCTCTCTCATACATGGCAGATATAGCACACACATACACATACACACACACACACACACACACACACACACACACACACACACACACACACGGCAGAGTCCTAACAGAAATCCAAATATTATGTCTGCATTCTTCTCTCGGGCCCGCCAAAACAAAACCCCTCACTCTGGAGGAATGGGACTCTGTGTGTGTGTGTGTGTATGGATGTACGTGTGTGTGAATAGATTTAAACTGTCAACTATCTTTATTGGCAACTGCGAGTGTGTGTGTCTACATATCTAACATTATGCCTGAGTCAAATTAGATTACCGCAGAAATGCAGTTGCCCCAATCAACAACACATATTTGTTTTTGTAAAGGAACGTTTCATGTAATGTTTCTCAACTATAAGCTACTAATGGTAAAACTAATATTAAGTATATATAATCTATAAACTCAATATACAAAATGTACCCACCACACACACACATGCTTGCACACACACCGGATGGATGGAGGGACACTTTGAGGCGGGGCAGCGGAGCGCACACACACACACTCCACGGGTAGCGGGGCTCGGAGGGGCAGGGCTACCAGGGTGTGTGTGTGTGAGGCATGGCTGGCCAGAGGAATGCTCTTGCTCACGCCTGGCTGAGCCGTCACAATGGACAGGCTCTTTCACACTGCAGGGAAATTCCACTCTAACGAGAGGGAGAGAGGGAGTAAGAGAGAAAAGGAGGGAGAGAAAGAAAGATGGCGAGAGAGGAAGAGGAGAGAGAGAAAGAAAAATGGAGAGAGAGGAAGAGGAGAGAGAGAACGAAAGATGGAGAGAGAGACAGCGAGAGGAAGAGGAAAGAGAGAGAGAGATAGAGAGAAAGACAGAGATAAAAGGAAAGTGAAAAGGAAAGAGAGAGAAAAAGAAGGAAAAAGAGAAAGAAAAAGAAAAAGAGGAGGGGCCAAAAGCAAAGGTTTAAAGCTGTCCGATAAATTCCACTCTTCCACTCTAAAAACGTCTACAGTCTGTCTATCACACTCATTCAGTGTGCAGTTCTTTTAGAGGTGAAGGCTAGAGTAAAAAGTATAGGCCTGCAGTACTGAGGGGTGGGGGTTGCTAGTATGCTGCGATGGAGAGAGAGAGATGGAGAGAAAGAGAGAGAGAGTGAAGAAAAAAAGGAAGACAGGGAGAGAGAGGGAGGGAGGGAGGATGGGGGAGGAAACTCTATCCTGGTCTGTGTTTGTTCTTCCCAGTCAGGGCTTTAGTAATGTTACGGCCACTTTGGAACTCCTAAGCTCTGTGTGTGTGTGAGTGTGAATGTGAATGCATGTGTACACCCGTAAAGCTGGGGTTGGTTATGGAGGGCCCCACATACACACACAGACACTGGGGCGGGGCGGTCAGCAGTCAACATTCATATCTGTAAAACCTCTGTGACAAAAGAGGATGGAGGGAGAGCCAAGACAAACACACATGCACAAACAGACTGACACAACCACGAGGGAGAGACAAAACAACAATGTAGTGCCCTCATTGTATCTGGCTCATCTCAAGCATTAACACAAACACACACGCATGCACACTCCCTTCCACCCTCCAAGCCCTGAATTTGGTGGCATATTTGACCTATTATCCAAATGACTGCCTTCCTCAAACCCACCAATCAGGTTTGCATTTTATCTTTTATGAGCTGATTTAGTTAACAGGCTTCACATGTGGCCGTGGGTACTACGGCTGTGTGTGTTTGTGTGTGTGCGTATGTGTATGCACTTATGTGTGTGTACTTGTGTGTCTGTGTGTGTTTGTACATATGTGTGAGTGTGCCTGCACACAGCTTGAGATGATGGCTGGACTGAGGGCAATGGTAGCTCTTTAGTACTGTCATTATTAGCACTAAAACACTGGCAATCTATGTTGGGGTGCAACCAGGCCTCTGAGCTATGTCTAGTACGGAGGTATGGAGGAGGGGGGAGGGTTTGTTGGGTAAGGAAGCAATGGGATTTGTGTGTGTGTGTGTGTGTACCTTGCTGCAGGCTCTGCATGGGGTTAGTGGGCTGTAGGGAGACCAGGCCTTGTCTCTGCAGGTTGATGATGTGCTGCTGCTGAAGCTGCTGCATCTGAATGAGCTGCTGCTGGAAAGCCAACTGCTTGTTACCTATCTGCTGCTGTGGAGAGAAGAGTGGCAGAGAGAGTTAGTACTTGTTAATCTCCCAACCTTTCCAACCCACTCCATTGGAGAATATTTGTATTAAGGTTGGGTGGCCCATTCCATCAATGCATCTCAGGTACAACTTAAAATGGAGTCTACAAGTCTCCACACATACTAGCAGTGTTGGAAAGCAAAACTATGTGACCCCAAAACTCTAATCATCCAAGGGGGAGGATACTGTTGTATGGCGACTCTTGAGGAAAGAGAGAGATGGAGGCAGGGAGGGAAGGGATGGAGGGATGTGGTGAAAGGGTGAGTGGTACAGACTACATGGCGTATGGCGATAACGTCAGTGTGTGTCGCAGTGATGAATGTCCCCCTTTCTGGTTTCCCTGTCGGTACCGGTCCTAGCCTGTGTTACGCTGTTTGATATCCCCCCAGAGAGATGGCCCTTATCTTCCCCAGATAACAGAGGGAGAGGAAAGACAGAGGGAGGCAGAGAGAGAGAGGAGGGGTGGAAAAAATACTAAATATATGTTTTTCTATTGGAGAGCGAGTGTTGGCCAGCGAGTCTTTGAACAGACAGGAGGAACTCACAGGAAGGCCACAAGGTCTTCCTGTCAGACTGGGCATCCGGGGAGGTAGGGTGTGTGTGTGTGTTTAGGGAGGCAGGCAGAGGGTCACTATGTCAGCACTACAGGCATTTTTTTCCAGAGAGAGAAGAGAAGAAAAATAAATGTGACCTGCCAGTTACACCGTTCGTTCTCTTGACGTCTGTCACAACTACACACTCAATAACCTTCTCGTAGACTTGTACCAAGCAAAATATACTTTAGTTTCTACAGCTAGGTACATAATATTTTATTGACCATGTAATTAGGGCCCATAGTTTTCCCTGTTTCAGTCATTTGGTCAGGATCAGGAAAAACACCTAAGAGCTGTTTGAAGCTCTCTAGCACTGTTCAACACTTTCCTCTCTCTTGGTCCATCTCTCCTCCTTCCTGGTCCTGTCTGTCCGTTTCATGTCCCTCCTCTACCCCCTCCCTCCCTCCCTCCCTCCCTCTATCTCACCCTCTCTCTCCAGAATATCACCCTCTCTCTCCAGAGACATGGTAGTGGTTCTTTAACACATTGTGTGTGTGTTCTGTTTACATTAGCCGCGGCTGAGTGGCCAAAGCTAGCGCAGTAACAGGCTGTCAATGTGATTTATGAGCACATCACACACTGTCTGAGCCTGCCAGTCACACACACACACACACACACACACACACACACACACACACACACACACACACACACACAGCCGGTCCCAAACGTCTGGTGTGACAGACAGAGTCACTTCATCAAGCTGACTTCTGACCAGCCCCAATGCACCACTCACAAACACGCGCACACACACACTCTCTCAGCATCACTTCTACACAGAAAAGAGCGAGTGGAACAATCAAAAAATAGAGAAGGGGTCAAAAGGTCACAGTCATCGATGCACAAATGCTCAAAAAGGCACAGGGGAGATTTTCCTTTTTTTCTACTCTCTCTCTCTCTCTCTCCATCTGGTGAGTGACCAGCAGAGAACACTGAGAGCTTTTACATTTTTTATATTTTAGTCATTTAGCAGACGCTCTTATCCAGAGCGACTTACAGTTAGTGAGTGCATACATTTTTATTTATTTTTTCATACTGGCCCCCCGTGGGAATCGAACCCACAACCCTGGCATTGCAAACGCCATGCTCTACTAACTGAGCTACTCATTTAATCACATCTTTTCATCCATCCATTAGATTTGTCCATTATTATTAGAACTATTAATCAGAATAAATATAATAAAGGACTAATTAAGTACTCCTCTGTGTACTGTAGTACTCCCCCTAGCCCCTATCCCCTAGGCACTTCCCCTATCCCCTAGGCCAGTGGTATTCAAAGTCAGGTTTGCGACCCCAGCTGCAGTGGGGGTCACCAACATTTAAAAAATAAGAGTACAGATTGTTGTATGGGACAATATGCAACAATTGTATTGATGTACTTAGTGGTTTCTTTTTATTTTGATAAGAGATTAAAAGGTTATTTGTTGATGTAAAAATTGAAATGTACTGATTTTAATGTTGTGTCCTTACATTTGGGGTGGGGTGGAGTCGTGAGAAATTCTGGCGGTAAAACTGGGGTCCCAGCTGAAAAAGTTTGAATACCACTGCCCTAGGCCCTTCCCCTAAGTGTCTGCGGGCTTTTGTTTTTTCCTTTTAATTAAGACCTAGACAACCAGGTGAGGGGAGTTCCTTACTAATTAGTGACCTTAATTCATCAATCAACTACAAGGGTGGAGCGAAAACCCGCAGACACACGGCCCTCCGTGGAATGAGTTTGACCCATGTGCCCTAAACCCTATTTCCTGGGCACTTGATAAGTAGGTGACCTACGTAGGCCTATGTAACCTACCTGCCATACCCATTCTAACCAGTAGGGTGAGCACCTCCGGGCCTGGAGGTCCACAGCCCTGCTGCGTTTCCTTCTTCCTCTCAGACCTGGGACACCAGGTGAGTGGAGACTCTGGCCAATCAATGTCATTAACCATTCAATTAACCACCAGCTAGAGAAGAAAAGAAGCAGTATTGCGTCCTGGAGGCACTATTGATGACCATAAGGCATTGAGTTAGACTGTAGAGCAGGCTTAGCTTTAGCTGTACACAGGAGAGGATGTATGTCCACAACAGTGGGTGTGGTGAACCATCACACATCAACTGCGGTGTGTGTGTGAGTGAGTGTGTGTGGTGTGGATGTGTGTTTGTGACCAGTGTTTGCACTTGTCTGGTTGTTACAGGAAAACAAAACCGGAGGATCAGACAGGAGAAGAAAGAAAAAAGAAAGAAAGAAACAGCATCAGACACAGTCTCTACATGCAAGTCAACCACAACTGGTTTGCTTTGGTCACGGTTGAGTTGGCTGACCGCTGTAGGCAAGGGGGGAGAGGGTCCACAGGGAGAGGGGGATCAGGGATGAGAGAGGAGGAAAGGATGGCAGGAGGGAGAAAGGAGGGATGATCTAGAGCGAACCTCCTCATGCAATTCCCACAATGGTCCCTGGAGTCCATGAGCTCTCTAGAAGTCTCTGTTTCCTACCTGCTCTTGTCTCCTTCTCTCTCGCTCCTCTCTCTCTCCCTCTCTCTCTCTCCCTCTCTCTCGCTCCTCTCTCTCTCCCTCTCTCTCTCTCCCTCTCTCTCTCTCGCTCCTCTCTCTTTCGCTCCTCTCTCTCTCTCTCTACTCTCTGAAAATGTCAGGTTAGATGGGGAGTGTGTGTGTTTGTGATAAAATCCCTATATTATTGTTATCAACTCACAACCAATGTTCCCTCAAAGTTTTTTTACTATGAAAACTGAGGCTGTACCCGCTTTAAGTTACAGTTTCAGACAGTGGTCAAGCAGACTACTGTGGCTATTTGATCATAATGTAGGCCTACCAGAGTTGCCTACCATCAGAAACAATGGAGAAAATGCATCCCATAACATTTTATCATGGAAATAGCTGTTCCATCATTCAGCCTACAGTAGCAGCCAATGTGTGGTGTTCAATGTAGTCCTATATTCCATGAGACTTTTGAAAAAAACATGCAGGGCTTGACATGAACCTGTAAATGTTGTTGTGCTGTTTGATGCAAGAAACCACTTTAAAAAATAAAACGCATTATTATACCCATACCATTATTACAGAGAATCAGACAAATTATGCTACCCTCTGCCTATTGGCTACTTAGCTTATTCAAGCCTGTCTCAAAATACAACACTGCCCATTTAAGACAAAAACAAGCTCTTTACCTAACTCGATTTTCAAAGATTCCTAGAAATTTACACGTTTTGAGCTCTTGTAGGAAGCAATCTCTCCCATTGCTGACTACAAATGATCTACAGTACCAGTCAAAAGTTTGGACACACCTACTCATTCCAGGCTTTTTCTTAATTTTTACTATTTTCTACATTGTAAAATAATAGGGAAGACATCAAAACTATGAAATAACACATATGGAATCATGTAGTAACCAAAGAAGTGTTAAACAAATCTAAATCTATTTTATATTTGAGATTCTTCAAAGTAGCCACCGTTTGCCTTGATGACAGCTTTGCACAATCCTGCCTAAATGACTACAGACCTGTAGCACTCACGTCTGTAGCCATGAAGTGCTTTGAAAGACTGGTCATGGCTCACATCAACACCATTATCCCAGAAACCCTTGACCCACTCCAATTTGCATACCGCCCCAACAGATCCACAGATGATGCAATCTTTATTGCGCTCCACACTGCCCTTTCACACCTGGACAAAAGGAACACCTACAGTGAGGGAAAAAAGTATTTGATCCCCTGCTGATTTTGTACGTTTGCCCACTGACAAAGACATGATCAGTCTATCATTTTAATGGTAGGTTTATTTGAACAGTGAGAGACAGAATAACAACAAAAAAATCCAGAGAAACGCATGTCAAAAATGTTATAAATTGATTTGCATTTTAATGAGGGAAATAAGTATTTGACCCCTCTGCAAAACATGACTTAGTACTTGGTGGCAAAACCCTTGTTGGCAATCACAGAGGTCAGACGTTTCTTGTAGTTGGCCACCAGGTTTGCACACATCTCAGGAGGGATTTTGTCCCACTCCTCTTTGCAGATCTTCTCCAAGTCATTAAGGTTTTGAGGCTGACGTTTGGCAACTCGAACCTTCAGCTCCCTCCACAGATTGTCTATGGGATTAAGGTCTGGAGACTTGCTAGGCCACTCCAGGACCTTAATGTGCTACTTCTTGAGCCACTCCTTTGTTGCCTTGGCCGTGTGTTTTGGGTCATTGTCATGCTGGAATATCCATCCACGACCCATTTTCAATGCCCTGGCTGAGGGAAGGAGGTTCTCACCCAAGATTTGACGGTACATGGCCCCGTCCATCGTCCCTTTGATGCAGTGAAGTTGTCCTGTCCCCTTAGCAGAAAAACACCCCCAAAGCATAATGTTTCCACCTCCATGTGTGACGGTGGGGATTGTGTTCTTGGGGACATAGGCAGCATTCCTCCTCCTCCAAACACGGCGAGTTGAGTTGATGCCAAAGAGCTCCATTTTGGTCTCATCTGACCACAACACTTTCACCCAGTTCTCCTCTGAATCATTCAGATGTTCATTGGCAAACTTCAGACGGCCCTGTATATGTGCTTTCTTGAGCAGGGGACCTTGCGGACGCTGCAGGATTTCAGTCCTTCACGGCGTAGTGTGTTACCAATTGTTTTCTTGGTGACTATGGTCCCAGCTGCCTTGAGATCATTGACAAGATCCTCCCGTGTAGTTCTGGGCTGATTCCTCACCGTTTTCATGATCATTGCAACTCCACGAGGTGAGATCTTGCATGGAGCCCCAGGCCGAGGGAGATTGACAGTTATTTTGTGTTTCTTCCATTTGCGAATAATCGCACCAACTGTTGTCACCTTCTCACCAAGCTGCTTGGCGATGGTTTTGTAGCCCATTCCAGCCTTGTGTAGGTCTACAATCTTGTCCCTGACATCCTTGGAGAGCCATCCAGGACCTATATACCAGGCGGTGTCAGAGGAAGGCCCTAAAAATTGTCAAAGACTCCAGCCACCCTAGTCATAGACTGTTCTCTCTGCTACCGCACAGCAACCGGTACCGGAGCGCCAAGTCTAGGTCCAAGAGGCTTCTAAACAGCTTCTACCCCCAAGCCATAAGACTCCTGAACATCTAATCAAATGGCTGCCCAGACTATTTGCATTGCCCCCCCCCCCCCCCTCTTTTACGCTGCTGCTACTCTCTGTTTATTATCTATGCATAGTCACTTTAATAACTCTACCTAAATGTACCTATTACCTCAATTACCTCAACTAACCGGTTCCTCCGCACGTTGACTCGGTACAGGTACCCCCTGTATATAGCCTCGCTATTGTTATTTTACTGCTGCTCTTTAATTATTTGTTACTTTTATTTTTTATAATTTTTTTATTTAATGTATTTTTTGGTATTTTATTTTTGGTATTCTTTCTTAAAATTGCATTGTTGGTTAAGGGTTTATAAGTAAGCATTTCACTGTAAGGTCTACACCTGTTGTATTCGGCTCATATGACAAATAACATTTGATTTGATTTGATATTTCTTGTGCGCTGCAGTCCCGGGGAAGCTGCGCGCCCGCATGCAGTTTAGAGGGAACATTGCTCACAACCCTGAATTGAACCCCCCCCCCCCCCCCCCCCCCCCCCCCCCCCCCCCAATATAACCTCTATGACAGTAATCTGGTGGGATCGATGTGGATACTCTTTGTTGTTACGTGTTGTGATCCTACTTAATCCCCCATGATCCCTGTTAGTGTGGTTAAACCTGGCGGAGGTGTGTGTTGGCACCGTTCTCACCGCTTGCGGGGGTTAATTGACAATTAAAAGTGTCAGGCCCCTCCTATATTGAGGCTACAACAGGATTCTACCTCAGGCTTCACACACACACACACACACACACACACACACACACACACACACACACACACACACACACACACACACACACACACACAGGCTTAACGCCATGTAAATAAATACTTATCCTGCATTAAGACAGAACTCTCTGTGAGTAGGGTTTGGCATGGTGTATTAGCAGAGAAAAATGTAAAGCCATATTCCATCACTACCATAATCCCTGTTTGGAAACGCAGAGTACACAAAACAGAAATACAATAAGAGGACAGGATGAGGAAAGGAGAGAATGAGAGGAGGATGAGTAGAAGAGGTGATCACTGCCCCTTGTGCAATCGCTCTTTAAGTCACAGCGCCTCACCTCCTTAAGCCCTACTCCCCAATCCCCTAACTCACGTGTTGGCCACTTCAACTATGTACGAGTGTGCTTGTGAGTGCACTTGATAACACCACTCAGTAGGGGTCTCACCTCTTTGGCTGCCTGCTTCCCAGCCTGCTGCTGTTGCTGAGTCAGAAGCTGAAGATGCAGCTGCTCTTGTTGCTTCTTATAGTACTCCTGTAGCTGAAGATAGAGGGAGGCAGGGAGGGAGGCAGGGAGGGAGGGAGGGAGGGGAGGGAGGGAGGGAGGGAGGGAGGGAGGGAAAAGGGGAGACACATTGATCAAAAGCCTCCTGTGACAGCAAACCCCAGGCCTAGCTGCAATAACACAAAGCAGAGAGAGAGCAGTAAGACTGAGGAGGCATGTGTGTGTGTGTGTGTGTGTTTGTGTGTGTGATGTATAATCAGTTTCCACAGCAACTAAAGCAGGTAGACAACATGTTATTGTAATGTGTATAGGTGTATAATATGTGCAGGGAGGCTAGGGAACCAGCTGGAGGTGCATTATCACGGGGGAGAAGAGGTAGATAAACCAGCTAGCATGATCAAATACACACACACATCTTTCTAGATAAATGTTGATTCTCACGTGGTAAAAGGGTGAAAGAGTTATAGAGATGTGCTAACATGACCCAACAGGAGTGTTCTGTCCCTCTAGGGAAGATGTGCTGCTGAAGCCATGGAGAGATGCACATAGCTATTTTTCTTTTACTTTCTTCCTTTAAAAATAGTTATTTAATGTTCACCTGAAACACCTGGACAGAGGTGGGCGTGGGTGTGTGTACAGGACCAATGGGGGTGTAGGTTTGAAGCGCCCCGTAAATCTTGGTGCCCTACAGTTGCTGGCATGTAAAAGGCGTCACCATAGCACCAGAGACAGATGTGATACACTGTTATTTATGGGCTGCTTACTTATCGGGTTGGGGGAGGAGGGACGTGTTCTGACGTGGCCATTTTGAAGGAGAATCAAGGTGTATCAGCCTGATTGCTATAAATATACTTCGATTTCGGTCATTTGAAAAGGTCCTGAGAACGATATATTCCTTCCTCGGCTCTAAAATAAAAATAAAAAACATTGCCCAGCACTGGGTGCGAACTCGTGATGCTCGGAGCGCGCTGGTCAGACAACTGCGCCACCACAGTTCAGAATGCTCTAGCAATAATTGATGGTTATAGCGCATCGTTTTTAATTATAACCTTAACCACTCAGAGTTAATGCCTAAACTGTTAACATTCAAGTTGTTTCTGTTTTAATCCTGTAACCACACGGAATTAACCCTGTAACCACGCAGAATTAAATAAACGTTCATAATTAATACGTCAAATTTCGAAGGGAAACTATGAAATCTTGTTGATCTTTATAGTCTGACGTTAACAACTAGCCTAGTAAAGGTAAAAAGTAAAGTCATATGGTTTCAACCAGCCTGTGTTTTCAGATCAGAGAAGATGAGGGAAGGGGCCGACAATAGGGAGCCACATTGGACTCCTGACTGATATTGTTACTACTGACTAGCCACAGCCTGTTTCTGTTTGTTTGACTAACTAATCAATCATTTACCAAGGACACTCCATTAAGATAAGCATCTCCCTGTGCTCTGACAGCCTGTCTCTACAACAGGGGAATGTGTGTCTGTGTGTACTTCTCTTTCTATTCCTCTGATTCTGTCCATTTCACTTCTTCATTCTTTGTCCCTCCGTCCCTCCGCCGTCCCTCCTCCCTCTCTTTTCACACTCCATAGGCAGAGTTAATCTCACCTCTCCAAGTCACTGGCTGCCTCCCTTTCACAGACACACACATGCACGCACGCACGCAAGCACACGCTAGGCTGGAGCTGGATAGTTAATAATTAAGTGATAATTAAGGTATTTTTTATGATTTGATTCAGTGGCTCTGCAGCATTAAGAGAGCCAGCCTATTACTGTGACCTTGACTTGACTAACACACCAAGAAATAAACTAGATCAGCTGTGGTGTAATTAAAGGTTAGAGGAAACGTAAAGGTTAAAACACACACACACACACACACACACAGAAACACACACACACGCACATACATACACACACACATGAACTCAAACACTCCCACACACACACACAATGCAAAGTCTCCATGGGGATATGAAATATAATGCTCCGATTGACTGATGTGGTCTGTGATTGCTGCATGTAATGTGTGTGTGTGTGTGCTGATTTGTGGCTGATTTGCTGATATATACTAGGAGGCAGTCATGGTGTGGTTAATTAAGTGGGAGAGTTGTGTTAAACTCAAGTGGTTTTAAAAGCAGAGGTAAAATGGCCTTACACAAGTGTGTGTGCATGCATGTGAGTGTGTGTAAGTGTTTCACCCCCACTGCCTCTCTCCTCGTTAGAGTAAAAAGAGCTGTGCAAGCCCTTCTTAACCGTCTCATTCCCAGAGAGCCAGCATATTTCCATTACCATCCATTTTGTCAGATCTTCCCACTGCAATTTATAGTAGCCTAAAGCAACACTTCCTTATTAAATCTACTGTCTGTTCAAGCCCTGGACTTATGTGTGTGTGTTAAATATATATGTTCTAGCCCTGCCTCTGTCAGAATTACTGTTCTATCTACACACTTTTAATAGCTGCCTATTCAACACGTACAGGAGAGGAAGTGTGTGTGTACAGTGCATTCGGAAAGTATTCAGACCCCTTTACTTTTTCCACATTTTGTTACGTTACAGCCTTATTTCAAAATTAATTTCAAAAAAATCTTCAATCTACACACAATACCCAATAATGAGAAAGCAGAAACAGGTTTTTAGAAATGTTTGCAAATGTATTAAAAATAAAAAACTGAAATATCACATAAGTATTCAGACCCTTTACTCAGTACTTTGTTGAAGCACCTTTAGCAGCGATTACAGCCTTGAGTCTTCTTGGGTATGACACTACAAGCTTGGTACACCTGTATTTGGGGAGTTTCTCCAATTCTTCTCCGTAGATCCTCTCAAGCTCTGTCAGGTTGGATGGGGAGCATCGCTGCACAGCTATTTTCAGGTCTCTCCAGAGATGTTACATCGGGTTCAAGTCCGGGCTCTGGCTGGGCCACTCAAGGACATTCAGACACTTGTCCCGATGCCACTCTTGCGTTGTCTTGGTTGTGTGCTTAGGGTTGTTGTCCTGTTTGAAGGTGAACCTTCACCCCAGTCTGAGGTCCTGAGCTCTATGGAGCAGGTTTTCATCAAGGACCTCTCTGTACTTTGCTCAGTTCATCTTTCCCTCGAATCTGACTAATCTTCAAGTCCGTGCTGTTGAAGAACATCCCCACAGCATGATGCTGCCACCACCATGCTTCACCGTAGGGATAGTGCCAGCTTTCCTCCAGACGTGACGCTTGGCATTCAGGCCAAAGAGTTCAATCTTGGTTTCAATCAGACCAGAGAATCTTGTTTCTCATGGTCTGAGAGTCCTTCAGGTGTATTTTGGCAAACTCGCGGAATGTCATGTGCCTTTTACTGAGGAGTGGCTTCCGTCTGGCCACTCTACCATAAAGGCCTGATTGGTGGAGTGCTGCAGAGATGGTTGTCCTTCTGGAAGGTTCTCCCATCTCCACAGAGGAACTCTGGAGCTCTGTCAGAGTGACCATCGGGTTCTTGGTCACCTCCCTGACCAAGGCCCTTCTCCCCCCAATTGCTCAGTTTGGCCGGGTGGCCAGCTCTAGGAAGTCTTGGTGGTTCCAAACTTCTTCCATTTAAGAATGATGGAGGCCACTGTGTTCTTGGGGACCTTCAACGCTGCAGAAATGTTTTGGTATCCTTCCCCAGATCTGTGCCTCGATACAATTCTGTCTCGTAGCTCTACGGACAATTCCTTCGTCCTCATGGCTTGGTTTTTGCTCTGACATGCACTGTCAACTGTGGGACCTTATATAGACAAGTGTGTTCCTTTCCAAATCATGTCCAATCAATTGAATTTACCACAGGTGGACTCCAATCAAGTTGTAGAAACATCAAGGATGATCACTGGAAACAGGATGCACCTGAGCTCAATTTCGAGTCTCATAGCAAAGGGTCTGAATACTTATGTAAATAAGCTATTTCTGTTTTTTATTTGTAATACATTTGCAAAACCTGTTTCGCTTTGTTATTGTGAGGTATTGTGTGTAGCTTGATGAGGGGAAAAAAATATGTAATCCATTTTAGAATAAGGCTGTAACGTAACAAAATGTGGAAAAAGTCAAGGGGTCTGAATACTTTCCAAATGCACTGTATGTGTGCCTGTTTGAGTGCATCTCTCTGCACATCTGTGTTTGTGTCTGTACATGCCTGCACTCAAAACAATGACGGGCTAAAAACAACCCAATTTGGGTTATTTGATAACCCAGTGCTGGTTAAATAGTGGACAGAACACATGTTGGGTTATTTTGACCCAGCCAGTTAGGTTCCGTGAATATCCCTACATGTTGGGTTGTTGGGATTACCCAAACATGGGTTAATTTAACCATCATTTGGGTATTACAGGACGCATGGCTTGTTAGGGGTGTCGCTTTCAGCTAGCTCTTATTGGCCACCCGTAAGAGTAAATGTCATTCCTGTTCATCATGTTAAGTTTACACCCAATTAGAGGAAAAACAAAAAGAAATGGAGAAACTTATTCAAGAAAGATCAAGTGTAATATATTATAAAAATAAAGCAAACTGGATGGAATATGTGGAAAAATGCACCAAATTCTTTTTTAATCTTCAACATAGGAATGCTACCAAAAAGAATTGACTGAAACTGGTTGCAAATGATGGAGTCACCCATGATTCACCAAATTATATTTTGAAGAGGAAACAAAGTACTTTAAGCATATGCTTTCGTTTCAGTCACCTCATCTCCTCTAACTGAAGCTAATTGTAGAGATTTTATTTCTATTGATAATGTAAATTTAACAGCCATACAGAAAGACTCATGTGAAGTTGAAATTACAGAGGAGGAACTTCTGGATGCAATTAAAGACTTTAAGTCCGGGAAAACACTCCAGGGTTGGATGGCATACCAGTCGAGGTATACCAAACCTTTTTTGATATACTCAGAGGATCGTTATTAGCATGTTTTAACCACTCCTATGGTAGATTATGACACTCAAGAAGAAGGTCTGATTTCATTATTACTGAAACAGGATACAAGTGGAAAATATAAAGATCCAGTCCATTTACAAACATTTTTGTAGGTGACCAAATACTTATTTTCCACCATAATTTGCAAATAAATTCATTAAAAATCCTACAATGTGATTTTCTGGATATTTTTTCCTCAATTTGTCTGTCATAGTTGACGTGTACCTATGATGAAAATTACAGGCCTCTCTCATCTTTTTAAGTGGGAGAACTTGCACAATTGGTGGCTGACTAAATACTTTTTTTCCCCACTGTAGTAAATAATGGCTATTTCTCAGAAAGTTTTAAACTGTCAAGAGGAGTGAAACAAGGTTGTCCACTATCGGCATATCTATTTATTATGGCCATCGAGATGTTAGCTATTAAAATCAGATCCAACAATAATATCAAGGGATTAGAAATCCAGGGCTTAAAAACAAAGGTGTCATTGTACGCTGATGATTCATGTTTTCTTTTAAATCCACAACTTGAATCCCTCCACAGCCTCATAGAGGAGCTAGATACATGTTCTAACCTCTCTGGATTACAACCAAATTATGATAAATGTACTATATTACGTATTGGATCACTAGAAAATAAAATGTGTACATTACCATGTAGTTTACCAATAAAATGGTCTGATGGTGATGTGGATATACTTGGAATACATATCCCAAATGAAATAAATGATCTCACTCCAATAAATGTTTATAGAAAGTTAGCTAAAATAGATAAGATCTTGCTACCATGGAAAGGTAAATACCTGTCAATTTGTGGAAAAATCACCCTGATTAACTCTTTAGTATTATCCCAGTTTACCTATTTGCTTATGGTCTTGCCTACGCCTAGCAAACAGTTTTTAAATTATATGAGAAAAAAATATTCGATTTTATTTGGAACGGCAAGCCAGACAAAATTAAACGGGCCTATTTATATAATGAATATGAATTCAGAGGACAGAAATTATTAAAAATTAAAGCATTAGACCTATCACTAAAAGCTTCTGTCATACAAAAGTTATACAGTGAGGGAAAAAAGTATTTGATCCCCTGCTGATTTTGTAAGTTTGCCCACTGACAAAGAAATGATCAGTCTATAATTTTAATGGTAGGTTTATTTGAACAGTGAGAGACAGAATAACAACAAAAAAATCCAGATAAACGCATGTCAAAAATGTTATAAATTGATTTGCATTTTAATGAGGGAAATAAGTATTTGACCCCCTCTCAATCAGAAAGATTTCTGGCTCCCAGGTGTCTTTTATACAGGTAACGAGCTGAGATTAGGAGCACACTCTTAAAGGGAGTGCTCCTAATCTCAGCTTGTTACCTGTATAAAAGACACCTGTCCACAGAAGCAATCAATCAATCAGATTCCAAACTCTCCACCATGGCCAAGACCAAAGAGCTCTCCAAGGATGTCAGGGACAAGATTGAGACCTACACAAGGCTGGAATGGGCGACAAGACCATCACCAAGCAGCTTGGTGAGAAGGTGACAACAGTTGGTGCGATTATTCGCAAATGGAAGAAACAGAAAATAACTGTCAATCTCCCTCGGCCTGGGGCTTCATGCAAGATCTCACCTCGTGGAGTTGCAATGATCATGAGAATGGTGAGGAATAAGCCCAGAACTACACGGGAGGATCTTGTCAATGATCTCAAGGCAGCTGGGACCATAGTCACCAAGAAAACAATTGGTAACACACTACGCCGTGAAGGACTGAAATCCTGCAGTGCCTGCAAGGTCCCCCTGCTCAAGAAAGCACATATACATGCCCGTCTGAAGTTTGCCAATGACCATCTGGATGATCCAGAGGAGGAATGGGAGAAGGTCATGTGGTCTGATGAGACAAAAATAGAGCTTTTTGGTCTAAACTCCACTCACCGTGTTTGGAGGAAGAAGAAGGATGAGTATAACCCCAAGAACACCATCCCAACCATGAAGCATGGAGGTGGAAACATCATTCTTTGGGGATGCTTTTCTGCAAAGGGGACAGGACGACTGCACCGTATTGAGGGGAGGATGGATGGGGCCATGTATCGCGAGATCTTGGCCAACAACCTCCTTCCCTCAGTAAGAGCATTGAAGATGGGTCGTGGCTGGGTCTTCCAGCATGACAACGACCCGAAACACACAGCCAGGGCAACTAAGGAGTGGCTCCGTAAGAAGCATCTCAAGGTCCTGGAGTTGCCTAGCCAGTCTCCAGACCTGAACCCAATAGAAAATCTTTGGAGGGAGCTGAAAGTCCGTATTGCCCAGCGACAGCCCCGAAACCTGAAGGATCTGGAGAAGGTCTGTATGGAGGAGTGGGCCAAAATCCCTGCTGCAGTGTGTGCAAACCTGGTCAAGACCTACAGGAAACGTATGATCTCTGTAATTGCAAACAAAGGTTTCTGTAGCAAATATTAAGTTCTGCTTTTCTGATGTATCAAATACTTATGTCATGCAATAAAATGCAAATTAATTACTTAAAAATCATACAATGTGATTTTCTGGATTTTTGTTTTAGATTCCGTCTCTCACAGTTGAAGTGTACCTATGATAAAAATTACAGACCTCTACATGCTTTGTAAGTAGGAAAACCTGCAAAATCGGCAGTGTATCAAATACGTGTTCTCCCCACTGTATCTGCAATATTAAAGCTGATCTACCCCCCGACCCCCCCCCAAAAAAAGTTTACATCCTGCAAATTCTAATTTCAAGAATATTTTTTTACACATTCTTCTATAATATTAAGATGATGTATTACTTATTGTAATAAAGTATACCACCTTATTGTATCCCAACAATGGTGTAGACATAGGCTTTTAGGGAACTCATACATTTCTGTAAGCGTCATTGAAGCTATAAAAATGTCAATGGTCGACCTTAATATGTGATAACTATGCAACAGAACATATGAACAGGAATTACATTTACTCTCATGGGCATCTAAAAATAACTATCTACCCACTGGGTCTTATCTCAATAACCAAGTACCAATAACCCAGCATTTTTTTTATGAAAACAACCTAACTAAGTGACCCAACACCTGCAACCCAGCAGTTGGGTCAACCAAACAACCCAGCATGTTTTAGAGTGTGTGTTTGTGTGTATTTGCATGTGGTGTATGTATGTATGTGTGTATTTTTGTGAGTGTGTATGTGGACTAATTTCCGTAGGTTTGTGAGGTGTTTGGTGCTAGCCACGACGCCGCTGCGTTAAATATTTGACAGATGTGTGATGTTGCCTGCCAGGTAAGAGTGGTTGCTGTGCCGAACCAAACGGAACAAACACACTCCCGCCTCCAACACACACCCAGATCATAGCACCTCATCACAAACTCCTAACCAACCAACAACCAGGACATGTTAACTGGTGCCCAAAGACGGTTAACATAAGCTCTCGCTGGCTGCGAGGTGTTTGTGGCTGAGTGTGTGGCTGGGTGTTACATTGCTAAAATAAGCATTTGTAAGAGTTTGGCTCTGCTCACTGATGGGGAGGTGCTCGAGGACTAAACAGGCGTTATAGAATTGGCAAGTGTGAGACTGCGTGTGTGTCTGTGTGTGTGTGTGGTTATGTGTCTGTGTGGGTGTGTGTGCATGCGTGTGTTACACTCTGTTCAAAGGCCTCAAAGCGCTCAGTAACTGTGCCAGAGGATACAATCACAACCAGTGTGTCAGTACCTCAACATAGACACATTTAGACATGCTGGGCTGGGACTGAGCCCAGGAAGGAGAGTGTGCGTTCATATGGGTTACCTGCTGTAGCATAAGGGCCTGTTGCTGTTGCAGCAGGGCCTGTAGCTGAGGAGGGGACAGTATCTGCTGCATCTGTTGGGGAGTGATCATCTGGGGGGTCAACATAGCCATGGACACTGGCACCTAGAGGGAGAGGAGGAGACAGACTACTTGTATAGAGCACACACACTCACATGTATGTGCATGTGCACACAAGCACGCACGAACACACACACATCGTTGACACTGTGACACAGTGCTGGCATTGTGATAAAGTTGGCAGTGTGTGTGTGAAATCAAAGAGAGATAAAACCTAGTGATGTAATCTCCCTATGGAATATAAAGTCTTATCTGCTTCAATAAACAGATTATTATGAGTCTCTATCCACACAATCAGGTCTTTGAGAGCAGAATGGAACAAAAAACAATCAGATCAGATGTTATCTGGGGAAAAGGCTAGAGGCAGGCTGGGACACAGACACATTTGGCAGCAGCGGGTGCTGCGCTGCACTAGCAGATTCTAAACACACACACACACAGATTTGGCAGCGTGCAGTGATGCATCGGGATAGCAGATACGCCGCAATGCTAATCTGATTAGAAACATACTGTGACTGAATGGAGACAAACTAACCGCTCAGAGAATAACACACACACACACCACTGACAGAGTAACAGAAATATTAGCGTTGATGCTATCCTCTGGCCAGGAGCTAACTCAAAGAGCATCCACCTGTCGATTGAACACACATGCAAGCACGTATTGGATGGTACGCACGCACACACACGCATCCACCAGATGATTAAGAGTTTTCCTCCTCAGTAAGTGAATTTGCCTAGAACACCCCAGATTTCGCAGCCATCAATTAAACTCCACAGTCAGCCCACAGAGAGAGAGAAGCGGGGAGAGAAGAGAGAAGAGAGGGGAGAGAGAGAGGGAAAGACAGGGAGTGCAAGAGAGAGAGAGAGCAAGAGAGAGGAAGAGAGAGAGAGACAGTGAAGGAGAGAGAGACTGAGACAGACAGAAATAGACAGATAAAAAGAGAGAGCAAGAGAAATCCATGCTGTTGTTTAGTCCTACACTCTTAGAATTAGTGGTGACTTGAGGAACCCTGGAGATCCTAAAGGAACCCCTGGAGTTCCTCAAGGAACCATTGCTAGTCAATGGTTCATATTTGCAAATTCGGTTAGTTGAGGGGTTCATGGAGGAACCTTTAATGGTTCAATGTAGCAACGGGTTCCTGGAGGATGCCTGGAGTGGAGGCATGGCTTAGTAGGGGCGTGGCTTTAAGATATATATTTTTGGGCCACCCGTTACAGTAAATGCCATTCCTGTTAATCTGTTCTGTTGTATTGTCATCACATGTTAAGGTTGAACACTGACATTTTTGTAGCTTCAGTGAAACTAATAGAGGTGTAGTACTTCCTCAAGAGCCTATGCAAATCCCAAAGTTGGAATAGTTACCACTTTATTACTGTGTGTAATCAGGAATGTTAATATTATTAATATTATATTAGAATATGTAATATGTAATATGCATAAAAATTCAAGGAACATTTTAATTTGCAGTATACAAACATAACATGATGAACAGGAATGACATTTACGCTAACGCCTCCAATAAGCAACACCTCCAATGATAGGCTGCCACCCCTCAATATATTATTAAAAAGGTTTAAATTGAACCCATCCCATCACAAAAAGGTTCCGGTTTGAACCTTTACATAGGAGTTCCTTGAAGACCCTTTTCAGAGGGGTTCCTCCAGGAACCTTTTTCAACTGGAAAGCTTCTGCCGGTGTGGCAACCCAAAAGGTTCTTCCAGGCACCTTTACTTCTAAGAGTGTACAGCTGATGCCAAGCAGGTGAGCTATGACCCTCTTCACCGAGAGATGAAGAGAAAGAGAGGGATGATAACCTCTTCCTTTACAGCTCAATAAAAATAATACTCTGTGCTCAATACAAATAAGAGCTGTTAGGAAGAGATGGCTGCTTTAACAGAGATATACGACCCTGGGCTAGAACTTCCCGTATATGGACATTCATCTCAAATCCCCCTGTGGAAAAACAGAGCTTTTCGCTCTCTTCCTCTCTCCCCTCGCTATATCTGTTTCTCTCTCTCTCTTTCTTTCTCTTTCTCTGTCTCTAGTTCTGTTCTTCCATCTCTCTCCCGCTCTCTCTTTTCTCTCTCTCTCGCCCCTTGTCTGTCTGTTTCTCTATCTCTCTTTATCTCTTTCTTTCTCTCACTCTCATTCTGATATTGGCAGTCATCTGTTTTGCAGCGCTGCATGGCTACGCGTCTCCCTGAGCAGTCTATTTATTCGCTGCCTGAGGGGTGGCTGGGGAGAGAAGGAGGGAAAGAGAGAGAGATAAACAGAGAGAGAGAGGAAGAGCTGTCAGTGGTAAATTAAATCTGTAAAGGGCTGATTTGACTTTGTAAACAAGATTGGCCATAAATACTAACACCCTCCCTCCCTCCCTCCCTCTGTTATCAGCTGCAGCCTGTGTGTCGGGCCCTGTCCAATCCCTTATTGTAAGCTGCCGTATCGTGATCAAACAAACCATCCATATCCCAACACACTCACTCATCACAGGGAGAGGAGGGGAGAGGGGTAGACTGAGAGGGAGGGTGAGGGTAAGGGGTAAAGGGAACCAGGGTAGACAGGTACAACAAGGGTGGGTACCAAGAGAGCTGCATCTATCCCCCTGTCTTTCTGTGTGTCTGTAGAGGGAGAGTGATCCCTTACTGTTTATCTGACTTCCACACAGAGAGGATCACAGTGACATAATAGCACAACAACACAACACACGGCAGACAATCAACTGGGACCTGGGCACTAGGAGGGCAAATGGTAGTGTGAGGGGGTGTGAGGAAGGGTGAGGTGGGGGTGAGCAGGTGAGACGGCATGGGTGAGGAGCAGGTGAGGGTGAGGAAGGGGTGATGTACGCTTGGTGTCACACCAATTTGCCTCCGCCAGCGCCGCCGGTGCTGCTCGTCACTCTTGGCTGGTAAATGAAAACCTGTAATTAATTGCTCTTGTGCATCCCATTCTCTCCTCCTGTCACACACACACACACACACACACACACACACACACACACACACACACACACACACACACACACACAGACACAGACACACACACACACACACACACACACACCCGCACACACACACACATACACAGACACACACCCAGTCTCTCCCCCTAACAACCCATACATTCTATTTCATACACATGCTCATTGACATGTTCAAGTTGCAGACGCAATAATTACTGGAGTTATAGCACCTTTCTGTTTGTTGCCGGACACACTGATGGCAGGCCTGAATATGTGTGTGTGTGTGCGTGTGTGTGTGTGTGCGTGTGCGTTCATGTGTGTGTAGTGTGTGACAGGGGCTGAATGATGAGTTGTTAAGGTTTGACGCCATTAATTGCCCCTATAATCTAATATCACAAAGCGGTGTGATTACGGAAGCGCGCGGCGCGTCGGCTATACCTCGCACCGCCTCCCAGCGACAGGGAGAAAACAAAAGAGGCGCCATTAGCGGTTTGACGGGCCCTAACAAAAGACACTCACAATGTGGAATTATATTTTCATTCGGCTTTGTCTCTCCCTGTGAATTATTTCTCCCCTTTCATTGTCCTGTGAATAGGGGAGAGAGTGAAAAGCCAGGCGATTTGAAGTCAGCCATTTATTAAATGCATTTAATTTTTCACTCTCCTCTCTTCTTCTTTTTTTTCTCGGCGTTGCATGTTAATTTAAAAGAGAGAGATGCGAGGTAGATTAGTAGGAGCGGAGGTGGAGAGGGGTGAGAGTGGGATGAGGGGGAAAGGGGGATGAGGGAGGGAGGTGGAATGAGACAGCTTACACATCCAGGCTGCACTCTAAAACCTAGACAAAGACACACTTTCCCTTTCAGAGAGACCGGAGAGAAAGGACGGAAGGAACAGGGAGGGAAGTGAAAGAGAGGATAGAGACAGAGAGAGAAATTACAGACAGGATGAATCAGAGGGGGATTGGTGGAAGAGGGAGATGGAGAGATAGAGAGAATGGACTGGTCTGGTACAGGCCTCAAGCCTGTGTGTGTGTCTGTGTGTGTGTGTGTCTGTGTCTCTGTGTGTGTGTGTGTGTCTGTGTGTGTGTGACAGACACACAGCACCATAAAAGTCAGAGACTGACAGAGGTCAACCTTCGCCACAGAGAGACACAGAACGAAGGGAGGAGAAGGGGAGGAGAGGGGGAGGAAAGAGAAGGGGAGGAGAGAGGGGAGGCGAGAGACACAGCCCTGTCATTTCCAGAGAGTGGAGGGGTAATTAGAGAGGTTGTTTGAAGAGGGAGTTTAACTGATTAACAAAGGAAGAGAGGGAGCGAGGGAGAGAGAGAGAGATGGAAGGAGAAAAAGTAAAAGGCAACGCATCCCAGAGGGATGGAGAGAGGGAGAGAGGGAGATGTATCACGCATTTCAATGAGGCTAGATCTCTAACTCCTCTCCTCCCTTGATTACTTTTAATTCCAGACAAGGAGAGCCCTGTTTTCCATTTCAGATGAAATCACATGGATGTGAGCAGTTATGGCACGGCTGGACCAGGCTAATAACCACACTGTAGACTCAGGCCTGGATTCAAAAGGAACGCATGGCATTTCATATGGAGGGGGGAGGGGGGGGGGGGGGGGGGGCAGAGAAATGGCAGTCATACATTTCCAAACTCTTTTAGGATGATGACCCTACTATATTGGTGAAGAGAGAACTATGGAAAGGGTATTTTTCTTTTGAATAAGTGCTTGACAAGAAGTGGATGGGTGTGTTGGTGGAGGGGGGGGGGGGTCGTTTCAACTGTCAAGGCCAGTCTAGCTGTAATGAGCTGTGCACTAAATGACCGTATTTAAACACACACACACCGTATTTAAATATAGACATGACGAATACTGCCGCATTCTCTAGAGGCTCCTCTGCCAACTCCTATTAATGGCTAATTATCACATGGAGTGCTGCTGCACACCTACACACACACACACACACACATATATTTTTCATTGTGTGTAATATTCATGTAAAATTTAACTAAACTTCCAAGTAAAATAATAATAATCCACACACATAGACAA